TGCCCGACCGCCTTTGTCACCCGATTTGTGATGTTTTCACGTATGAATCAGGTTTTCATTTGAGGCTGATTCGACCTAGGGGAGGCCTAGGAACAGTTCACTGGTGTTGACCGTGAGCGAGAATCGAACTCGGGTCATTAGTTTTACTCTAATCACGACGCTACTGCTGCCCTCTACCGTGCTCACAATGACAAAGATCCCCCGTGTAGCCTTAACAGACTGTAGGGGCAAGTGCTGTTAGCGAGCACCTAGTAAGGCCGGCACAGCACACGGAAGTTGTGGGTGGCCACCACCAGGCTCGGCTGCCTTTGTCTCCGTAGTGACGATGTTTACACACCGCACCAGTGCTTACCACACACACATGCACACTACAAAGACTCCGACACACACAACATTAGATTTTGACATCACAAAGCATGCCGCCACTCGTTACAGCCTGTGACCAAATCAGCCTGAATGCGTCAGTAGTTGTCCGACCTCGGAAACGAAGCAAGCGTTGAGCCTGGTAACTACTTAAATGGGAGACCACAAGCACCTTCCACGTGTTGTAGGCTTGAGGCCTGCGAGGTGGCCAGGAGATGGCAGTACAGCAGTCGCCAGGTATGCAGGAAGTCGTGGGTTCGAGCCCCACCCTTACGCCTGTTAATTTGGCGTTTGCGTGTCTCTCTCCCCGTGGTTGCGTGGATTTTTCTCCGGGTCCTCTGTGTTTTTTCCCCTCCACGTTGAGAATCGACGTGCGTTTCGAGTATTTGGCCGCGATGCATTTCCACGTGATGCTAAGCCACTTCGTTGGGCTATCATTTGTGGTAGCCGGGTCGCTTCTGAGCTACATATAGCTGAGTGGGGGCGCTTACTTGGTAAAATAAAAATTGCGTGGTTCGGTGTGTTTTTAAATCTCTGTGAGTGCGACGCTTTGGGTGTTGGCCTTCATCTGAGTCCCCGCGGTTCCCCTGCCGCATTTAAAACCCAACACTTGCCGATGGAATTGGCCAAACGTCCCGATGTAGCGGCGCCCTCCTTCGACGAAGAGCCCGAGACTCGTTGCGAGGCTTTCCTGAATGAAAGGCCTCAGTAGATAGGGTGGCCTGTAAAGGTACCTACCGTACCATTATTGATGAATCGTAGTTTGACCGCGATGCTGGAATGTCGTACGGTAAAATAATTACGGCGCCACTTTGCGTTCGCGTGGCATCTGAAGGCGATCGCATCTCTCACGCCCCGCGAGGCGCTCCGCAAGGAACAACGGTTTGGCATGTTCATTTGGTTCAAGTTCAAGTTAATTTATTAGGTATAGCCCTGTGAGCCATTCGGCTCTTGAATCGGGTGCAACCGCAACATACAAAAAACTAAAACATGAACAAGAAAACATCTTAGAGTGACTATGTGTAAACAGAAAATCCAAGAAAAGACAGCAAAATATTGCAGAAAAAGCACCGTACACCAACACTGTTTGCAAAAATCCCAGTGGGATGCAAGTCAAACAACAACAACCACAATACAACTTAGATTAAGGCCATCAGTCTAACTCTGTACTACAACAAACAAACATGGCCAAACCAAAAAACTTTTCGTAAATCACCAAAATAAAGCCATAAAAGCAATGAAACAGTGATCATAGGAACTGTGACCGAATTTTCACAATAAACGACGTAAACAACATGTATTACCAAACTTTGCAGCCATAGCTGGCTGCATGAGTCACTCCACAACAGCAGGAGCATCAGTCGGAGCGTCCACATGTTTCAATGGTGGAGAGGGGCAGCCGCTGTGAGGCAGAGGCAAATAAAATAGGGATCGGTCTTGAGGCCTGGACAGAACCGGTGCAGGGAGTCGACAGCACGGATGGCTGGAGAAAGGAAGTTCCATCTCACCTGGCATCAGACAATTGAGAGGACAATCCGTCTCAATCACGTAATCTGTCTTTTCACGTAAACAATGATTACATAAAAACAATTCTGACACCACCCATCGGCTGCACGGCCTTCTGTGCGTAGTTTCAGCGGCGTTGTTTCAGGGCGAGCAAACCCCGGACCGGTTTAGACACGCAGCGTCTCATCAGTTAGGTGTGCTTTTCTCGTATAATCCATCCGCACGGCTCGGCCGCGCACGTTACATTATTATCGCTTTGTCTAGCCCTGACGTTTCCCGCATGAATACGCTTCGATGTAGGAATGCTAAGCAATAACCTCGGTGCTCGTTTGGCAATGGCGAGACGTTAATTATTCAAACAGAACCCGACATGGGGGGGGGTTGACGCCCGTTGTGACAACGGTCGGGTCACAGCACGAACGTCACGGGCGAGCGAGTCGCGGGGCGAGAGAGTCAAGAGCGAGAGATTCACGGGCGAGAGAGTCACGGGGCGAGAGAGTCAAGAGCGAGAGAGTCACGGGGTGAGAGAGTCAAGAGCGAGAGAGTCAAGAGCGAGAGAGTCACGGGGCGAGAGAGTCAAGAGCGAGAGAGTCAAGAGCGCGAGAGTCACGGGGCGAGAGAGTCATGGGGCGAGAGATTCACGGGCGAGAGAGTCACGGGGCGAGAGAGTTACGGGGCGAGAGATTCACGGGCGAGAGATTCACGGGCGAGAGATTCACGGGGCAAGAGTCAAGAGCGAGAGGTTCACGGGCGAGAGAGTCACCCGCCGTCCGGTTCAGCGCCGATCCCCACCGCGGGGGTCACGTTTCTCGTGAAATGTCAACGCGCGTCTTCTCGTGTTCGTTTCTCCGCTTTGCACGTTCCTGGTGACCTGAAGAGGCCGGCCCCGTTCCGAAGCGTCCGTTGCGCACGCGTCCTCAACAAGTGCCCCCCCCCCCCCGTCCACGTCGCGTGGGGGGGGGGGAGGGTGAAGCGGGGGGAGTGCGGGAGTGCTTCTCATCCAGCAGTGGATTAACGAAAGGTGCTGCAATTGTACAGAACGTTAGGGCACTCAGTGGGTCCACACCACCCCCCCTGCCCCCCCTTCCACTGCCCCCCCCCCTCCCAACCCACACCCCGAGTCGAATCGATTGGAGGTTTTGGCTTCTTGAATGGAACCGTGAGCTCGGAACGGTGACTCGTCATCGGGCAGCGGCGGCGGCGTAACGATTGCGCGAGCGATTCCCCCTGCGTGGTGGCAGATCCGGTGGCCATGGAGTGAGTGGAGTGAGCAGCGTCAATGGGGGGGGGGGATTGAAAGGTTGAGTCGCGAGGGAGCGGCTGTGACTCAGGTGGGGGCGCCGCGGGGGCGAATTGTGAACTACCTTCACCTGGTCTCCTAGAGGACGTGGGTTTGATCCCGACCCCTGACGCCTGTGTATGTAGAGTCTGCGTGTCTCTCTCACGCTGGTCGCGTGGACTTTTCTCCGGTTCCTCCGGTTTTCCCCCCCCACATTGCGAATGAACGTGCATTCAGAGGATTTGGCTGCTGTACATTTCCACGTGATTAACCACCTCGTTGGGCTGTCATTTTTTGTGGGCAGGGCGCTTCTGACAACGAGCTGTCTAGCTTAGTGGGCCTTACCTGGCACTGCCGAGTCAGCGACGCTGAGCCGGCACTGCGGGGCTCGATGCCGGGTTTCAGCCGCCCGTGGTCACACCGGATTGTGGGGTTGTAGTGAGTTCATGGTCTCTGCCTGGTCGTCAATGACCGCACAACAAAAATTACATTCCGTGGTTTTGTTTTTTCCGCCACCACTTCATTTCACTTTCTTGTACTGCATGTATGTTGAACTTCTTTAGCACCGTACATAGCCGACCGTACTTATCATAGGTGCGGGAGGAGGACAACAAACTAAACACAAGAAGCGTTTTATAAGAAATGAGATCTCAATCAAGGTTTAAAAAGTGCATAGCTCCAGTGGTTTCCTAATATCGGAAGGAAGAGCGTTCCAGACGGCCGCAGAAGCGCATCTGAAAGCAGCGGCCGTCTTTGGTCGATGGCTGAGCCACAAGCCGCTGCGAGGATGACCGGAGCTCGCGTGCCGGTTTATGCTCCTAGACGAGATGAGCGAGGTGCCGTGGTTCACTTGTGGCGAGCACTTTGTGCGCAATGAATGCCGCGTGCCCCCAACAAATATCCTCCGCCACCTTCATCCAGCCACACTGACCAGCGGGGTGGTTCGACCCCGCACGGCGTTGGGACGCCCTCATCCAACGGCGGATTGACCAAAGGCACTGCGCGTGCACGTAACACCGAACTTTATTGCATAAGAGAGAGAGAGGGAGAAAAAAAAACCGCAAACATTAAAACCCAATCTCGGATTCGCCCAGTAAACCTTTTAGGTGCTGCTGACAGGTTGTTGGCAGATGCGTGCGTGCGTGCGTTCCATGCACGTGTTATGCGCGTGCGGTACGAGAGTGTGTGTGTTCCATGCACGTGTTATGCGTGTGCGTTACGTGCGTGTGTTCCATACACGTGTTATGCGCGTGTGTTGCGTGCGTGCATTACGGGCGTGTGTTGCGTGCGTGCGTTACAAGCGTGCGTGTGTTCCATGCACGTGTTATGCGCGTGTTATGCGCGTGTGTTGTGTGCGTGTGTTGCGTGCGTGTGTTGCGTGCGTGTGTTGCGTGCGTGTGTTACGGGCGTGCATTACGAGCGTGTGTTACGGGCGTGCGTGTGTTCCATGCACGTGTTATGCGCGTGTGTTGCGTGCGTGTGTTGCGTGCGTGTGTTACGGGCGTGCGTGTGTAGCACGGCGGTCAGAGCACTGCGCTATGAACCCCGGCCACCTGAGTTTGATTCCCGCTCGCAGCCAGCACCAGCGACGAATATATTGAAGCAGTCCTGGGCCTCCCCTCGGTTGACTCGGCCTCAAATGAGTGTAAAACATCGCCACTGGGGAGACAAAGGCGGCCGGGCGTGGTGCTGGCCACCCACCCCCGTCGTGTGCCGTGCCGGCCTTCATAGGTGCTCGCTAACAGCACTTGCCGCAACAGCCTCGTATGCCTATACAGGACGGGGGGGGGGGGGATCTTTGTCTTTGCATGCGGTCTCACCCCCCACCCCGATGTGATCCTGTCGTTGGCAGGACGTCGGGGCCGTTGATGAGCTTCGGGGCGAGTTTCGTCAGTTTCCTGGTGAGTGGCGGTTTCCTCATAGTGCGGGCATTCTCACTCCTGACCCGTGAGCCCACGTGTGCGACTGAGCCACACGATAACCCACACACGTGTGTCTCAGCCGCACTATAACCCACATACGTGTGACTGAGCAGCACTATAACCCACACACGTGTGTCTGAGCCACACCATAACTCACACGGTGGGTATGTGTGTAATATGGGGAGCGGTGGCGCAATGGTTAGCGCACTGCACTATATCTGAACCCCATCCCATGGCCTCCCCCTAAATAAACCTTGCATGAGTACCCGGTGCGCTGTGTAAACTTGGGAGACAAAGGCAGCTGGGCGCGGTGCAGCTGCTCACCCACCCCCTGTGCCGGGCTTGGCCTTCACAGATAGGTTCTGCTCGCTAACAGCACTGCTACAAAGGCTACACGACGGATCTGTGTTCATCTCTTGTGTACGTACGCGTATGCATGCGTGTGTGTCCCCACCGACACCCCCTGCGCGTGGGTGTCACCCCCAGCAAGCGCTCATGACGTTCGAGGAGGAGAAGCTGCACACGGCCTCCGAGGACCTGCGCAGCACGGAGCGGCTGTGCGGTGCCGACGAGGTGGGAGTCATCGACGCCATCAAGAGCAAGATGAAGAAGAGCGTGAGCACCCGGTCGCGTGACCCCTCCCCTCGCCTCGCGTTCCCCCGAAGGGGGGGGGTCACCATTAAGGGGTTTGGGTCACGAGTCGCGGCGGTGCCGAGTCCAGGACGTCGGCGCGGTCGGCGGTGCGCCCACCGCGCCGACGTGGCCTCCCCGACCGCCGCTGCGAACCGCGTCCCCCGCGGTGCTTACCGAACCGTCGGTGGTGCAAGGTATACCGCGCAGCTGCGAATCCGTGCAGAGAGAAACCACGCCAGGTGACACCGTACGGCAGAGGTCGCACACGGGTTTTGATTCCTTACCCGTACCCGGCCGCTCCAAGGTCGCAAACGGGTACCCATAGCCGGGTATCGGGTAGGGTACGGGTATCGGGTACCCGATTGCGACCTCTGCCGTACGGGGGGGGGGGTCCATCGTCTCTTGGGCTCGACCCTGCCCTCGGCGTTTGGGCCTCGTCGATCGATGGCCGGTCTGTTCCGATCAACCTCCGCTGGCCTACCCTCCCGCCCGCCCGCGTGCTCACGCTCACTCACTCGCACTCACTCACGCAAGCCCCAACGGAAATGTTTCCCCTGCTTTTATTTTCACCGGACAACCGCTCACCGCGAGCGCGTGCGCGGTTGACGCGGCACCAGGGAGCGCTCCCCCGGCGCGGCTTGCTTTACTCCTGGTAAGATTTAAACTAAAACAAAAAATGGTTAAGTTTAATTTGTATATATTTTTACAGTGATTTGTTTTCCTGTCCTATACTTTGCACTCCCATCGTGTTTTTTTGTATCGTTTGTTGTTGTAACGGTCTGACCCTGTGCCCCGACTGGACTTCAGTGAGAAAGAGCTAATGGGATCCCTCCTCCAGTAGGAACACAGATTCTGACATCCCAATCATCTTCCCGCCAACTACGAAACTCGGCAGGACCAGGAACCCTCGAGAGAGCCTCGAGATTCCTCCCTCGCCCCCCCCACACCCCCGTCGCTTTTCCCGGGGGCGAAACGAACGCTCGAAAAACCGCGCTTTGTCCTCTCCCCGCGCGTCCGCCCCCTTTGCGCCGTCCCCGCCCAGGCGGAGGACGCGAAGCCCTCGCCGACGCTGGAGGATCGCCTGCAGAGGCAGATCATCGTCGCCGACTGCCAGCTCTACCTGGCCGTGCTCGCCTTCGTCAAGCAGGAGCTGTCAGGTGTGCGCGCTCGCGCGGCGCCGTGGAGCTCCGATGAGCCCGCTGGAGGCACGCGCCCTTGCGCACGCGCACGCACGCACGCACACGCATGCGCACGCACGTACACACGCGCACGCACATACCAGTCGCCAGCATCGTGGGCCGAATTTCTCAAGGGGTCCTCGCCCCCGTGTCTGTCTCCTTTATACGGGGGGGGGGGGGGGGGGGGTCTCTTTATCCTCGCAGCAGCTGCTTTTGGTCGGCCGTGGAAGGAAGACGGTTTACCGCATCGTGCCACTTTCGGACGCCACTGGGGCTGTGCACTTTTAAATCTGGATCGAAAACTAATTTCTTTGCGAACTGCTCTTCGTGTTTAGTTTCGTTGTCCTTCCCCCGCACCTCTGATTGGCACGCTTGGCTACGTTCGGTGCGAGCGAAAGTTCAGCATACATTTATAGGGATATTCAGGGGTGTTTCGGGTGCAAATCACCTGCAATGTGCCCGTTCTCGTCAGATTTCAGAAGCTAAGCGGGGTTTTGATCCCCGCGCAGTGCTTGAACGGCGCGACCGTCGGGTGAGCCAGGTTGCCATAGGCCGCTGTGGAGCTGTGCCACACAGCGACCATCGGAGGGCAGTGCGGCAAAATCCATTGTTGCGCAGTACTTCTATGTATCCCACATCCATAACTACTCACCCCCGCCGCCGCCCACCACCTTCACCAACCCGCACTACTGACCGGCGTGGTGAAGTAACGGTCAAACAATCCCGACGATCCGCACGGCGTTGGGAAGTCTGCCATCCAGCAGTGGATTGGGAAGATAATAAAGAGCTGCGCACGTACAGACACACGGACGGGGGTGCTCAGTTCGGCAGTCCCAGCGATAATTCTCTCTCGCTCTGTCAAGTCCGCTGTTGCTCGCAGCAAGGTTGGGGTCGAATTCAGCCGGGCTCCGTGCATCTTCACAATTTAATTCCCTGTCGTCGCTGGTAAAGGCTACTAACCCTAAGCGCTCAGATTATAGCGTGTATCTTTTTGTTTTTAAAATAATCCCCGCATCTTTTCCCGGAGCTGCCGAGAATATCGCTTGGGTCAGGGTTTTATTTCGGCCGGGTTTGTATGGGTCGGTGAACCGGAAACATTTTGTCCGTATGCAGCTCACCACATCCAGTATATACTTTCGGATGCGCTTCTGCAACCATCTGGAACGCTCTCTTCCGATATTAGGAAGCGACTGGAGGAGCTATGCTCGATTGAAAACACATTTCTTCAAATCTACGTTTTGCGTTTGATTTGTTGTCCTTCCCCCGCACCTCCGATTAGCACGGTTGGCTACGTACGGTGCAACAAAGTTCAACATGTAAACATACACCCAGTACACCGCTATGGTCCTGCCTCTAGGCCTACTGCAGTCGACCAGTCACTGAGCGGGCACGTTTTGTAATTAGCGCTGGCGGAGGAGAGCGAGGGAGTGGGGGGGCAGGGGGCGGGAGGGAGATGAAGCAAGAGCGACAGGAGATGGGGGGGGTAGAGTCATGACCCCATTGCGATTATTTCCGGCCCCCTAAGTGCGCAACGACACGAGTTAACGAGACGAATATCGGCGAAGGCTCGCGGTCGCCGGAGGAGCTGTGGGGAGGGAGCGAGAGACAGACAGTGAGGTCATCGGCTATTTTTGGCATCGGGTCGGTCGTGAGCTTTCATCCGCGAGTGATCGGCTCTGCGAAGACACGGTGTTAGTGGGGATGGATCGGTTGGGCATTCGTGGAATTTTCACGAGTAAGGGAAATGTCATTTTTTTGTGGGTTCGGTTACGTTATCTTATTTATTTATGCGTCTTCGTGCTCGCACTAACAACGTCACGACTTCACACGAAACCGTTTTTTTGGCAGCATAACGGCAGAATAGGGTCATATGCGTGATGGCTCGTGTGGAGGAGGAGGCCGATTTAGAGTGACCTCAGAAGTAGTCGCGCGTAACGTCAACCTCCCTCGTCATTCTCTGACACAAGCTGCAAGAATTCCAAATCGAAAATCTCCGCCGTCTCAAGGCGTGACGCTGATAACACGGTTCGGAACACGAGTGGAAAACATTCCCAAATGGAATTATTTGGCCCGCGTCGTTCGAGGATGTTTATCTCCATCCGTTTATTTTTTTTGGTGACCGCTGAGCCAGTGATGGACGTGCCACGTCCCCATTGGTGGGGCCCGGTCTCTCCATCGGGATGCCCAATGTCGGCTCCCCACGCAGTGGTTACTTAGTTTATCTGCTTCTGAATGCATGGTGGTGTGCCAGGTTAATCTCTAATCAAGTACAATTTTGCTTGGGCAAATACCATCGCCCTGTCCGAAAGGGTTAATAATGGGGTTGGAGCAAAGCCCACAGTAATGTTTTCAGTCTCTGTGTTCCATTTATTTTTAACTAATTCTCCATTTGGCTCTGCTGCTGCTGCTGTTATCTTTAACATCATGACCACAATTTCTCTCCCAGATGGAGTGTCCACGGCTGTGAGTGGAATGTTTTTTTTTTAGAAAATGCAAATAGCTAGACTGGTCACATTTAATTTGTCGATGATGATGGTGGTGGTGATGATGATGATGATATTGCTACTTGCTACGGATAATGATGACGATGATGGTGTTTGTGATGAGAATGGCCAGTGGATGCTGATGGTGTTGCAACTGCTAAGGGTGATGAAGGTGATTCTGTCGCTTTTTGTTATTTTAACGATCACGAGTTTGGTGATTATGATGATTCTTCTGCTAATGGTTTTGCTGCTGCTGCTGCTGATAATGATCCTGCTGATGCTGCTGATGATGATAATTATGACCCTCGTCTGCACAAACATAACACTGCCAAAAAAATCAATGCCTCTTTCACTGCCGCCATCAGTCATTCACTTATACGCACAAAGACAAAGATCCCCCGTGTAGCCTTTAACGAGCACCTACGGAGGCCGACACTGTACACGAGTCAGTGGGTGGTTAGCACCACGTCCGACTGCGTTTGTCTCCCCAATGTTGATCTTTTTATGCACTGAACTATATACTCATTTAAGGTTGAGTCGACCTAGAGGAGGCCCGGGACTGGTTGAGACATTGGTCACTGTTATTGGTCGTGAGCGGGAATCGAACTTGGGTTGCCGGGTTCATAATACCCGCGCGCTAACCAATACATTACCGCATCTCACGCAAAACACACACACAAACGCGCACACAAAGACAAATACACACACGCACACACACAACACAAACGGGTGAATAAAATAACCGTGGAGATTAGGAAGCCTTTCACATGCACGATGTGCGTTGCCATGGAGACGGAGAGGGCCGGAGGTGGGTAGCGAGGGTGGGGGTGGGAAGGGTGCGATGTTGGGGGAGGGGGGGCGATGGTGATGCGATGGAGTGTGAGGATGTAGTGGGGGGCAGGGCCGGCGGGGGGGGGGGGGGGGTGGAGGGCGGTGCACATTTTGGTTTTCTCCCTGTCCTCGTAAAATTCTCATCTTCACCCCAGCGACTGGGGTCAGGGTTCGCTTGTGTGGGGTGTTGGCGTGGGGCAGCGGTGGGGCGGGGAGGGCACAGGAGAGGGGTCCCTGCACGTTTCCTACGAGTGTCCCCAGCATTGTCGGGGTTCCGTTGTCTCTGAATTAATTGCAACGATACGTTAATCGTCGGCCACCGCTCGGGGAGAGGAGGGATGTGCCAGGGATCGTGTCCGGGTGGTGCCGGCGACGGCTCGGGCCGACAGGGCAGAGCCCCGCGATGTTTACTGCCACTCGGACACGAGGAGTGGGAGGATGTATGCATCCATGTTGAACTTCTTTTGCACCGTTCGTAGCCGACCGCTCTAATCGGGAGGTGTGGGGAAAAGACAACAAACAAAAGGACGCCACTGTGGCGAGATGTGAACTACCTCGCCTGCCATGCAGGAGGTCGTGGGTTAAATTCACTAATGGCAATTCTTTCGATTTGGTGGAAACTGGTGCGGTCATCCAAGCGTATCGCGAAGTAAGGCCTTCATGAATAAAAATACACACTTGATGAAACTGAAGAGAGAAAAAAAGGCACATGTGCATCTGGGAACAAATACAAATCTTCCTTCTTTAGGCGCACAGGCACACATATACGTGTTTATATATATATATCTAATCCGTGCTATGTGCTGAAAGAACACAGCTTGCCAATGCCATATTGTGCCATTTGTACATATATATTTTTAACTTAGTTCGCACCGAACGTAGCCATCCATGCAAGTCGTAGGTGTGGGAGGTGTTGCACAGTGCCGTTCCACATTGTACCACCACGCCGTGCCACGTCTCACCATGCCAGAGCTCACCGTGCCACCGTTCCTCACCGTACCACGTATCACCGTGCCACATCTCACCATACCATGCCATGCCATATCTTTCTGTGCCAAATCTCACCGTGCCACATCTCACCGTGCCACATCTCACTGTGCTACATCTCACCGTGCCACATCTCACCGTGCCACATCTCACTGTGCTACATCTCCCCGTACCCCGTCTCACTGTGCTACATCTCACCGTGCCACATCTCACCGTGCCACATCTCACTGTGCTACATCTCCCCGTACCCCGTCTCACTGTGCTACGTATCACCGTGCCACTTCTCACCGTGCCACTTCTCACCGTGCCACGTCTCACCATGCCCGCACAGCGTACATCAAGGGCGGCTGGATCCTGCGCAAGGCGTGGAAGGTGTACGACCGGTGCTACCGCGAGGTGAGCGAGCTGCACGCCGCCTCGCACCGCCGTCAGCAGCAGCAGCTGGCGCTCACCGACACTGCCGCCTCCGACACCACCACCACCAGCAGCAGCACCACAACCGCCGCCGGCACCACCGCCACAACCGCCGGCACGGACGGGAACTCGAACCTGCGCCGGACATCAACCGCATCGGAGCGCGGAGCGGCCGAGGCTCGGTAATAATAATCATCTTCATCTTCTCCATGGTGATATCCACGATCATGCGGGGTCCTGATCGCCCTCTCATTCCTGTCCTGGGACATCTCCACATCCACTCCACAGTCCTTCACATCCCTGGCTCACCACTTCGAGCTGCGGCCTTCGAGGCCTGCCATGTTTGGAGCCGTGTGTCACGGCTGGTAACGCACGCAGATTGAACACGATCTTAATAGGGGGTCAGAAGCATAGACATTGACAGACAGAGTAAGAAGAAAAGCGGAATCGGAATCAGAAAACTTTATTTAGTCTCGAGGAAACCGATGTGCTATGAAGCTAGGGGGTTGGGTCAGCAAGTCGCGACAACAAACAGTACAAAAAACGATAGGAGTGCAAAATGCAGGTAAGGTAAGCAAGTCACTATCAAAAAATATAAAGTATAGAAGTCCAAATTTCATAAATACATACATTCCTGCCGATTTGTCAACACCAAATGAACGAAATTTTTTTTGTATTTCACCAGGACAGGGCCACTGAGCTATGTACCTCTTTTTCCAAGGCGACCTGCCTACAGACGACAGCTCAACCCAGTGGCTTGTCACGTGGACATTTATAGCAGCCAAAAACACTCTCAACGCACACGTCGATTCTAAATGTTGAGAGAGACACCGCAAAGTCCAAATATACAGCAGGCGTCAGGGTCGGTGTCGAACCCACGGACCTCCTGCATATCAGGCGAGCTAGTTAACATCTCCGAGTCACCGAGAGACAAACACGAGGAGGAAAGAAATGAGGGAACAGAGCCAAGTTCGAGGCATGCACCATTGCCCGCGAAGAAAAGTACTCCGGTAGCGGTTAGCGCGCTGCGCTACGAAGCCTGGCGCCCCGAGTTCGATTCCCGGTTACACGGCCAACACCAGTGACGATTGGAACTGGTCCTCCCCTAGGCCGTCTTAACCTCAAATGAGTACCTGGTGGTGGTGTGTTAACATCGCCACTGAGGAGACAAAGGTGGCCAGGCATGGTGCTGGCCACCCCACCCCATCATGTGCTGTGCCGGCTTTCATAGGTGTTAATCGCGAACAGCACTTGCTGCTACGGTCCGTTAAAGGCTACACGGGGGATCTTTGTCTTTGGTGTGCACGGCGGCGACGGTGGCAGGCTGGAGGCGGAGCTGGGCTCGGCGTCGCACGCCACCCTGCAGCGCCTGATGGGCGCCGTGAGCTTCGGCTACGGCCTCTTCCACCTCTGCATTTCCATGGTGCCACCCAACCTGCTCAAGATCGTCAACCTCCTGGGCTTCCCCGGGGACCGGCAGCAGGGCCTCAGGTCGCTCGCCTACGCAAGCCAAAGCCGAGACATGAAGGCGCCGCTCGCCACGTGGGTTTGCCCGTCGCGCCGCGGGGGGGGTGGTGGTGTGATGGTGGTGGTGATGCTGCGGTGGTGGCAGTGGTGCAATGACGGTGTTGGTGTGAATATGGCGACGGCGGCAGAGGTTTGCTGGTGATGCTGATGGTGGTGGTGATGGCGGTGGTGGTAGTGCAATGATGGTGGTGGTGTGGAGATGGTGGCGGTGGTGGCGATGGTGAGAGGTGAATTGTTTTGAGCCTGATGTGGTAATACACCACCGTCCGCCCCCCCACCACCTCGGTGGTTCGATGAATTGTCACGATATGAATCGTCCCCTCGTCTTGGATTCTTTGCCTTTGCATACATAGGTGCGTGCCAATGCTGGTGTCGGTGCGAATGCCGGCGTCAACGCCCATGCCGGCGGCTAATGCCGGTATCGGTGTCGATTCTTGCCGCTGCGCTGCTGCTGCTGGTGCACCGCCGCCGTGCAGGCTGGCGCTGTTGTGGTACCACACGGTGGTGCGCCCGTTCTTCGCGCTGGACGGGGACGACATCCAGGCGGGGCTGTGGGAGGCCGAGGAGATCCTGCGGCAGAAGGAGGCGCTCTACCCCAACTCCTCCCTCTTCCTCTTCTTCAAGGGCCGCGTGCAGCGACTGCGGGTGGGTGGACCGCACCCCCCCCCACCCCACCACTTCCCCTTCCTACCACCCACCACCCCCCGGTCCTGGCCCTCTCCCAGGTCACCTCAGCTGGCCGCGCCACCGCGTCGTGCGTGTGTGTACGTGTCTGTCCGATGTGTGTGTGTGTCCGTCCGTGTGCATGCACTGCGCGAACGTCCCCTGCCAGCGGGAGTGCAGTAGTTAGCGCGCTGCGCGACCAACCCAGCGGCCCGAGTTCGATTGCTGCTCAAGGCCAACGCCGGTAACGATTATAATGTGAACCGGTCCTGGACCTCCCCTAGGTCGACTCGGCCTCAAATGAGTACCTGGTGGCGGCGTGTAAACATCGCCACTTGGGAGGTGAAGGTGGCCGGGCGCGGCGCTACCCACCCACCGCCTCGTGTGCCGTGCCGGTCTCCATAGGTGCTCCTACCCCCAACAGTCTGTTAAGGCTATGCGGGGCTTCTTTGTCTTCGCTGCGTGCCGTGCAGTGCGAAATCAACAGTGCCTTGACGTCCTTCCGGCTGGCGCTGGAGTGCGCCAGCGAGCAGAGGGAGCTGCAGCACGTGTGCCTCTACGAGATCGGTGAGCTGGCAGCATCGCACCGCTCCCCCTCCCCCCCCACCACCCACCACCGCGTCGCTCGCACCGCTTGCTGTCGAGCCGCAGAGGAATCACGGCAAGGCGCCGCAGACGATCGGATTCTCGCGGCTCGGGCAGTGGTTCATTTTCTCGCCGAACGTTTTGCCGGGTCGCCGGATAGACCGCGGCGGGCGGGCCCCCTCGCTCGCGTAGGCCACGGCCTTCGCGAAGAGATATACTGGACGTGGCGTGCCGGGCGCGGAAGCGTCTTCCGGGTCGCCGACCCAGGCAGGCCTGACCGAAAGGAAGCCTCGACGCGCTCGACGGTGCAAACTGGAAGGCGTTCACGGCCGGTGGCGGCGACTTACAACACGGGGGTGGGCGGCCAAAGGAGGGAACGCGCCCGACAGGAGCGGCGACATCGGCCTCGGTTCCATGAGCTCGACGGCCATTGGCGCCGCGAGAGACGGCGACGGATCGAGGGGGCCCCTCGTCCCGTCGGTGGATCGGCCACGGACGACGACGATACTTGAACACGGCGGGAATAGCGATGAGACGCGCGGTTCCTTCGTGCCGGGTTCCGTCCATCGGCCGCGGCTATCGCCGGTGGCGAGCGACATCTCGACCAGTTCTGGCCGTCTGTCTAGGGTCGGCTCGGCCTCTAGCGAGCCCCCGTCCCCCCTGGCGTCACGCGGTAAACACCAGCCCCTGGGCAGACGACGGCGGCCGCATGCGTAGCTCCTCCTCGTGCGCCGGGCACTCGCGCCCAGCTGTCTCCGTGGGCTACGTGGTGGAGGGGGGGGGGGGAGACCTTTGTGCGCTGCTCGTCGCGGTGTGTGCCGGCAGGCTGGTGCAGCATGCTGCAGCTGGATTTTGGCGATGCGGCCGAATGCTTCGCTCGGCTCAAGACGGAGTCTCGCTGGTCCCAGTGCTACTACGCCTACCTGACAGCAGGTACATCGCCCACCTGACAGCAGGTGAGGTGCTGTGCGGAGACGGTGACCCCCCCCCCCCCCCCCCCCCGCAGCCTTACAAAAACCTCCGGCGCTGGGGAGGAAAATTGTTGGTACGTACGTACGTGTGTAATAATTAACTTCTTTTGCACCGTACGCAGCCAACCGTTCCTATTTCACGAAAAAGGGGGCGCCTGTTGTGACCCCAACGGTACGCGCGCTAGTGGGTGGCATGGCCAGCGTGAGCGAGTATTTTGACCCTGTAGAATTCGGACCGCAGGGTCAGAATCTTGTATATATTATCTCAACCCCCGGGGCGAAAGAATACTCTTACGGCAATGCTGCTCACTTCCCCACCAGCCCAGGGACAGAATAAAAGTTACAGTCGCAGTAAGGGATGAGGCCTGAATCGGAATCCTTCTTTATCCTGGAGGAATCCGATGAGCTCAGACAGCCAGTATGTGTGTACGTAGAATTTATTTTGCACCGTACTTGCCCAACCGTGTTAATCGGTGGTGCGGGAGCTAACCAGCAGGGGCGGGTGAGCAAGTTACAACAACGATAAACCAGCTTAAATCCTTCACGGCGGGGGTGCAGGCTGCAGAATTTGACAGCGCACAGCTGCAATTGGTCACTACGCGCACGGGGGGCGGGGGAAACGCCGGGAGGCCGCGCTGACGCGCATCGTGCGGTACGCGCGGACCGAGTGCGCAGTGTGCCGGGGAGGCACGGGGGCTCTGGAGGACGCGCAGCTCGTCTTCAAGGAGGTGCAGAAGCTGTTCAAGCGCAAGAACAATCAGATCGAGCAGTTCGCCGTACGCAAGGTAAACATCGCCACTGGGGAGACAAAGGCGGCCGGGCGCGACGCTACCCACCCACCCCCTCGTGTGCCGCGCGGGCCAAAACCCCCACGCCGCCGATGGTCACCATACGTTGAGGACGCCTCCCCGTGCCGCGTCTCGCTGTGCCACGTCTCGCCGTGCCGGATCTCACCGTGCCATTTCCCACCGCACCGCGTCTCGCCGTGCCATGTCTCTCTGTGCCACATCTCGCTGTGCCACGTCTCGCCGTGCCGGATCTCACCGCGCCGGATCTCACCGTGCCATTTCCCACCGTGCCACGTCTCGCCGTGCCAGGTTCTCACGCGTCCATGTTTCTTGTTCGATAGAACTACGCGCAAGTTTCTCGTAGGGGATTTTCCATGGCAAATCACCCTCCCTGCTACTGGCTGACGAGACTCAGCCTGGTCTCTCAATTTCTCGTCTGGTTAAGGAAAACAAACGTTTAACTTGGCCATTGAATTCGTAGATTAAAATCAATTATTGCGCTCTCTCGATGATCACGAGCACAATTGCGAGCGAAGATTGGGCATTCAATTATGTGGTGACTCGGCTGCCGATGCTGCATTGGCAGTGGTGCACAAACACAAATGGCAAAAAAATGTACACGCACGTCAAATAACACTGCGGCCTTAAAAAGGAGCTTTCACGACATTTGTGTGCGGCCATCCACCATCGCTGTTGCCTGCACAGCGCTGCAATAAACTAAAAACCAAACTATTTTAATTTTTACAGGTAAGGCCCACTGAGCCATATAGCTCTCTCTTTAGAAGCGACCTGGCCACAAATGATAGCGCAACGAAGTGGCTTGTCACGTGGAAATGTTTCGCAGCCAAATACTCCAAACGCACGTCGTTGATTCTAAATGTGGAGGGAAAAAAATCCACGCGACCACGGGGGGAGAGACACGCAATCTCCAAATATGTCCTTACCCCGCACCTCCAATTAGCACGGTTGGCTACATACAGTGTGAAAGAAGTTCAACACACGTGCAGCGGTCAGCGTTGGAATCGAACCCACGACCTCCTGCGTACCGGGCGGGGGCGACAACACCTCGCCACTGCGGATTGCAGGAGGCCACGTGCAGCGGCATAGCCGCTGCCGGCCAGGCAGTGGGCGGTCGCCGTCACGTCCGTGGCCCCGCCGTCGGGGACCGTGGCCCCGCCGTCGGGGACCGTGGCCCCGCCGTCGGGGACCGTGGCGCGCTCCGTTGCGGCGGCGCTCCACCCGCCGCGAGCCGCAGCGAGGCGCGCCGCAGCGGCCGCGAACGAGGCCGTTGTGTCGTGTGAGCGGCGAGCGGCGAGCGAGCTGACGAGGGGCGAGCGGCGAGCGAGCTGACGAGCGGTTTGAGGCCGCCGGTGCTCACCGAAGGGACGGCCGCGCGGGGCGAGCGGAGGACGGCGGCGAGACCGGCGTCGCTGTGCCCAACCGGAGTTCTACACCCCACGCCCCCCCCACCTCCCCCCTCCCACCTCCCCCCCCCCACCCAATCCGCACCCCCAGGCCGAGCGCTTCAAGAAGACGCAGCCGACGCAGCAGCTGTGCGTGCTGGCGGCCGTGGAGGTGCTCTACCTGTGGAGGGCCCTGCTCAACTGCTCGCCCACGCACCTGCAGCGCATGCTGACCGGTGCGTGCGTGCGTGCGTACGTGCGTGCGTGCGTGTCACGGGAGAGGGGAGGGGGGGGGTCACCGGTCAGGGGTGCGGTGTGAATGTGGTTGTGGCTGCGGGGTACGTTGTGTGGTTGTGAGTAGAGAGGTGAGAGTGTGGTTGTGGGTGAGTAGAGAGTGTGGTTGTGGGTGAGGGGTTACGGTGTGTGGTTGTGGGTGAGTAGAGCGCTGAAGTTGTGGTTTTTATTGCTGAACCCAAACTATCGCTGCAAAAGCAAGGACCGCGATAGTTTGAGAGTCTGTACGCAGCAGTGTACAGAGAACGCCGATGTTGAAGATGATTACGATGTGGTAGAGTGCCATTGTGTTAGAAAATATCGTTGTGTTGTATTTAGTTTCAGCAGAGGAAAGGAGAGAAGAGTGATCCGTAAAATATCACGACTGCGTATTGTGGTCAAATGTGTGGTATTGCCTCGCCGCATGGGCATGCGTTATCGTTGTGTTTAGCTGAGAGACCAAGGCGTGCGTGCGTGCGTGTGCAGTGTGTGAAAGCGTGGACGACTTGTCATCAGCTGGCATCAAGTGTCTCCTCATGGGCACCATCAACAAGACACTGGGCAACCGGGAAGAGTCCATCCAGGTAAGGGCACTGCGGGCGGAGGTTGGGGTTGTATTGTTCCATTTCCCGTTTGCAGCCTGAGTCGACGTGGCTCTGTGCGGAGTACGCTGGCTACGCTGGCATGGCGATCACTGCCTCATCCATCTCCATCGTTGCCTCGGCCCGACTGCCACCACCAGGCCCACGATTATCACTATACATCACCAACATCACCACCACCTCCATCACCACCACCATCTTCACCACCACCATAACCACTGCCATCCTCATAATCACCATCACCAACACCACAATCATCACTACCATCACCAACACCACCTCCATCATCATCACCACCACAACCACTGCCATCATCATCATAATCACCACCACGATCATCACTACCATCATCAACGCCACCTCCATCATCATCACCATCACCAACCACACCACCACCACCTCCATCATCATCACCACCGCCTTCACCACCACCTCCATCACCACCACAACCACCACTGCTATCATCATCATAATCACCATCACCAACACCACGATCATCACTACCATCACCAACACCACCTCCATCATCATCACCACCACCACCACTGCCATCATCATCATCATAATCACCACCACGATCATCACTACCATCACCAACACCACCTCCATCATCATCATCACCACCACCGCCTTCACCACCACCTCCATCACCACCACCACAGCCACTGCCATCATCATAATCACCATCACCAACACCACGATCATCACTACCATCATCAACGCCACATTTATCACCACTGTCTCCATCGCCACCGACTCCACTGACATCACCGCCCCCTGTGCCCCGTACCGCCGCCGCCCCTGCAGCTCTTCAAGCAGGCGTTCTTAGACGGTTCGAGCCGCCAGCACAACGCCTACGTGCAGCCATTCGCCTGCTACGAGCTGGGCTGCCTGCTCATCGAGGTGCCCGAGGTGAGGCCCGGACCAACCCCCCCGCCCCCACACATACGGTGCTCCAGCCCAATCGGAGCAGCCCATTCCAACCCACAGCCCCAAATCCAGCCGCACGTGTCCTCTTTGCCAAGTACGGCACGTGGTTACGGAGTGTCTGTTAATGTCGCTGGGCTAGCCGCTCTCCTGCCTCCGCATCACGACTCACCAACTCCTCTCCTCCCCACCACTCTCCCTCTTCACCACCACTCACCAACTCCTCCCCACCGCTCACCAGACACTCTCGCTCCTCGCCACCACCGCTCACCAACCCCGACGCGTGACATCTCTGAAGCACTCCTCACCGTCGCTTTAGTCTCTCTTCACGTGTGCGTGGTTTCACGCATGTGTTGAGCAGCTCGGACAACACGGCCCAGGCTACGTGTGTAGGTTCTGTCAAGAATGAAACCCACCACTGGTGGCCGGGTGTGCGTGTGTGCGTGTGTGCGTGTGTGCGTGTGTGCGGGTGTGCGTGTGTGCGTGTGTGCGGGTGTGCGTGTGTGCGTGTGTGCGTGTGTGCGTGTGTGCGTGTGTGCGGGTGTGCGTGTGTGCGTGTGTGCGTGTGTGCGTGTGTGCGGGTGTGCGTGTGTGCGTGTGTGCGTGTGTGCGGGTGTGCGTGTGTGCGTGTGTGCGTGTGTGCGTGTGTGCGTGTGTGCGTGTGTGCGGGTGTGCGTGTGTGCGTGTGTGCGTGTGTGCGGGTGTGCGTGTGTGCGGGTGTGCGTGTGTGCGGGTGTGCGTGTGTGCGGGTGTGCGTGTGTGCGTGTGTGCGTGTGTGCGGGTGTGCGTGTGTGCGTGTGTGCGTGTGTGCGTGTGTGCGGGTGTGTGTGTGTGCGTGGGTCTGGTCCCACCTTCCCCTCGTGCGCCGCACCAGCCTTAATAGGTGCTCACTGACATCACCACTCGCATCATGATATCAACAGGCGCATCATGACATCACCTGGTGCATCATGACATCACCTGGCGCATAGAGACAATCTATAATGTAGACTGTAGCCTGGTTATTAAGCTGGGTGAGTGTGCTGGCATTCTATAATGTAGACTGTAGCATGGTTATTAAGCTGGGTGAGTGTACTGGCAGTCTATAATGTAGACTGTAGCCTGGTTATTAGGCTGGGTGAGTGTACTGGCAGTCTATGATGTAGACTGTAGCCTGGTTATTAAGCTGGGTGAGTGTACTGACAGTCTATGATGCAGACTGTAGCAATGGTTATTAACCTGAGTAATCGTACTGGCAGTCTATAATGTAGACTTATTCTTGGTTCTTTCAGTACTAAAAATTAAATTAAAATAAACAATAAAAACACAAAACCACGACGTTTCGATCGCAACACAAGCGGTCGTCATCAGGGAAAGAGAGGGGGGGGGGTTGTGTAATTGGTGGTTAAACATCTGGTGTTTAGTGGATAGAATCTTAGCATCTGCAGCAGTTCCACGGACCGATTCCGCATGGCCTTGTGTGGACCGCAGGACGGGAACCGTTGATTTTAGACGGATAAATGAATTCCAAATTGCATCATCCTATTGTGTCAATGCCTTTGTGTAAAAAAAAAGGAAACGCGTTACGATCCGCACACGATGATGGAGGCCGTGTCCTGCGCGAGGGCGACAGTTTTATCTGGCGGTCATTAGAATGCCATTTGTGTTGTAACTCCCGCACCTCTCCTCTCGTTTTAGACCACGGGGAGAGGCAAGGCATTGCTCCTTCAAGCCAAGGTCTGTGCACCACCTGCTTTGGGCTAGCGGCAGCAGCCTCCATCAGTATCACTGTCACCATTGTCGTCGTCCAATCATTATCGTCAGTCCTCGTCAACACCATCGTCATCATCCGATAAATATTATCGTGATTATTGTTGTTCCGTCATCATTGTCCATTCATTGTTATGATGACTGTCCAATCGATATTCTCATCATGGTTCAGTCGTTAATCATCCTTGCAGCGGCTTTTGGCTAACCATCGAAGAAAACATGGTCACTGTGTCACGCACTTTGAGATTCACTTCTGCGGCCGTCTGGAACGCTCTTCCTACCAATATTAGAAATCCACTGGAGCTATGCACTTTTAAATCTAGATTGAGAACTCATTTCTTTAAAACTGCTTTTTGTGTTTAGTTTGTTGTCCTTCCCCCGCACCTCCGATCAGCACAGTTGGCTACGTACGGTATGAAAGAAGTTCAACATACATACACATATCATCATCGTCCAATTGTGATTATCATCGCCCAATTAATTATCATCGCCCAACCGTGACCATCATCGCTGCACCTCCCTCGCCGTGTATCTCTGTGCAACCACGCTCCACCTCCCCCGCCGTGTATCTCTGTGCAACCACGTTACATTTCCCTCGCCGTGTATCTCCCACCCGCTGTTTCCTCCGCTCCCATGCAGGACGGCTTCACGGAGTACGACTTTGAGAACCGCCTGCAGGTGCGAATCCACGCTGCTCTCGCTCCGCTCAAGGACGTCAGCCCCCAATAGCGACCGCCCCCCAACTTCCCACGTGACGCCCCTTTTACACCACTCCGCCGACCGCCGCAGCCGCCCTCCTCCACCCCTCCCCCCACCGCGGCCCCCAACCTCTGATCTCCTGACCTATTCTGGTCTCCACCGGGGTCGCGAGACGCCCACACCTCCCCAAGCGAACACCTCCGCCTCCCACCGACAGCTGCACCCACCACCAGCGCCCACCCCGAAGCGACGAAGCGGCTTTGCACTTCCTCCCTCCTGCCCCCCCCCCCCCCCACGGAGCGACAGATGGGAGGGCAAGGTGGAACAGGGTCGAGAGTTCAGATGGCGGACTGTGAAGGACGAAGAAGACCGGGCTTTCCCAAATTGGAGTCGCACATCGTGGCGCTGCCTTTCCACGCTTTGCCCGCCTTCTTCGTTCGAATGCGAATGAAGTAGTTGACACGCTGCACGAGCCCGATGATTGCTACACGCGTCGCACGTGTCGTAGAGAGCTGTGGATTCGTATTGAGACGGAGCGTGTGTGTGTGTGTATCTACGTGTGCAACGATCAGCATGCTGCCCTACGGACCCAGCGACCCGAGTTCGATTTCCGCAACACACCAGTGGCGACTACCTGAATCAGTTCTGGGCCTTTACACTCCAGAGCAGGAACTCAAATGAGTACCTGCTGCGGAGTGTAAACATCGACCACTTCGGGAGACAAGCGGTCGGGCGTGCTGTTGACCACTCTCTCCTTCGTGTGCTTGCTAACAGCACTTGGCCCAACAGTCTGTTAAGGCTATACGGGTGATCTTCGTTCTTTTTTTTCTCCACGTAGAGAGCGCGAATTTGCGTTGAGATAGCGGTGTGTGTGTGCGCGTGTGGCTTGCAATGACCAATAATGTTCATCCCAGTTAACGTTGCAGAGCTTTCTAAAAGAACACTTCGGCCGTGTTCATCAGCAAATGAAGAGACCAATTTCCTGTTGTACAGTCGTTGTGCAACACAGGACCCCCCATCGCACATTGCCGCGTGCTAAATCGTACCCCCCCCCCCGATCATACGTCACATGCTTAACTTACGTCAACCCAGTGCCGGATTATCCTAGTAGCACAAGTAGCTACACATGCTACGGGCCCCGCACTTTCAAAGGCCCCGCGCTAAATGCTTTCAAGTTATCAATTCCGGTTCAGCGATTCTGCACTTGCTCTATTACTATAGTACTATACCGCCTTCAACTTTTACGAACGACTGGGTGTTTAAGGTTGGCGATTTGTCGTATTATCTGGCTGTATAGCAAATGAAAAAAATACAATTACTTTACTACGCACGATAAATATTTATGTGTTTTAATATTATGTTTTAATTTATTCAGGGCCCCTTTATAACATATGCTACAGGCCCCGCACTAGCTTAATCCGGCACTGGGTCAACCCCGGTTTACCCATCATGGGGTGCGTGCAGCGTTAAGTTCCACCTTTTAAATTTGTGTTTTAAACGCAAAAGGGGTACGGGGGGCCCGGCACGCGCGTGCGGATTGGAGCTTGGAAAAAAAGCACGTGACCGACGACGTGACAGTTTGGCGGGGGGTGGGGGTGCCGATGTCTGTGTGCGTGTCTTGGTCTGTGTGTGTGTCTTTGTCTGTGTGCGTGTCTTTGTCTGTGTGCGTGTCTTTGTCTGTGTGCGTGTCTTTGTCTGTGTGCGTGTCTTTGTCTGTGTGTGTCTTTGTCTGTGTGTGTCTTTGTCTGTGTGTGTGTGTCTTGTGTTTTTTACATCGTAGTTTAGTGGTTGTTCATTGAAGGTGGAGGGGTTACCAGCCCCCTCGCACCCATCCAGAGCCCCCATTTGGCCGCTGTGGTGGTCACAAACGCCATGAAGGGAAAGGCCAATCTAAATTGGCCCTCCCCCCATGGCACTGCCCACCACAGCGTTGCCGTCCTGCACCACGAGGAGACCTCCTGCCAGCGGGCGTTCGACACTTCACGTGGCCTCAACGTGCACATAGTCTGGCACAAGCGTCGTGGTGACGTCACCGCCACTTAGTGGCGAATGGCGATTGTTGGTGTGTGTGTGTGTCTGAGTGTGTGTGTCTGTGTGTGTGTCTTGAGTGTGTCTGTGTGTCTGAGTGTGTCTGAGTCTGTGTGTCTGTGTGTGTGTCTGTGTGTGTCTGTCTGTGTGTGTCTGTGTGTCTGAGTGTGTCTGTGTGTCTGAGTGTGTGTGTGTGTCTGTGTGTGTGTATCTGTGTGTGTGTGTCTGTGTGTCTGAGTGTGTCTGTGTGTCTGAGTGTATCTGTGTGTCTGAGTGTGTCTGTGTGTCTGAGTGTGTCTGTGTGTGTGTGTCTGAGTGTGTCTGAGTCTGTGTGTGTGTCTTGAGTGTGTGTGTGTCTGTGTCTGAGTGTGTGTGTGTCTGAGTGTGTGTGTCTGAGTGTGTGTGTCTGAGTGTGTCTGTCTGAGTGTGTGTGTCTGAGTGTGTCTGTGTGTCTGAGTGTGTCTGTGTGTGTCTGAGTGTGTGCTCGGATGCCGCCGCCGTCATCGATTCCTGGAGTCGTTTTTCTCCCCCAACTCCACTACCCCCCCCCTTCCCCGTCGATTGCGCTTGTGAATGGGCCGAGCCCCCCCCCCCCCCCCCCCGATAAGTTTTACTGAATTCTAAAAAGGGGTCGATTGAACGATTCCGTTCGGTTTTGTGTAGATTCCATGAATCGTCCCAGGTTTGACCCTCGACATTATCATCATTCACATGCTGCTTGCTGCTGCTTGCACACCCCGTCATTAAGTTATGTATGCGTCGTCAAAGCGATTCTATTGTGTTCTTAACCCTGTTGTGTTGTTTTATCGATAACCAAGAATTGACCGCAAATTGAACGGTCCACGTGGCTCTCACGCCATTGGTCAGACTTCACGAGGTGGGGGGGAAGCTCTCCCATTGGTCAGCTTGGTGCCCCGCCTACCAGCCTAGGACTCCGCCCACCAGCCTGGGACTCCGCCCCTACCCTACGGATGTCATTATCAATGAGGATTTCATTGGGGGGGTGAGGGCAGAGGTCGCAATCGGGTACCCGATACCCGGCTACCCGTACCCGGCCGGGTACGGGTACCCGTTTGCGACCCTGGTGCGGCCGGGTACGGGTAAGGAATCAAAACCCGTTTGCGACCTCTGGGTGAGGGTGAGATCGCGTATATATAGATGTGTCGTTAAACCCGCCACCACCCGACACGGCTAATGAGTAAGGTTTAGTCAGGTAAACACAACATGGCAGTTAGCTACTCGTCCAGCACGCCGGTTTGTTGGAGAGTTAATCTACTTCCGTGACAAACCTTATTAAGCTGTGTCGGGTGGTGCCGGGTGTCACAACACATTTTTATTTACTTGATCTAACACAAAAAAACCTCTTATGAATGATATTGGTCGCGAAAGCCTGCTACATGTTAAACTGATTTCATAATCCTTCGCTATTCATTTGCGATGGGAATTCCCCCTTATCTCTCCCCAATGTGAAACGATTCCAGTAACCGATTCCACAAAATTGTCATCATCATCGTCGTCTCTCGCGTGTGTGCGCGCCTGTAAGCATTGCCCGGCCTCAATATAAGTCGAGATATTAACTCCCTCGCCTCGTATGCAGGAAGCCGTGGGTTCGATCCCGACCCTGACTGCCTGCTGTATATTTGGAGTTCGTGGTGTGTCTCTCTCTCCGTGGTCGCGTGGATTTTTCTCCGGGTTCTTCCGGGTTTCCACTCCACATTTAGAATCAACATCACGCGCTCAGAGTATTTGGCCGCTGTACCATTTTTACGTGACGATAAGCGACGTATTTGAGCTGTCATATGTGGCCAGGTCGCTTTCTTGAAAAAGCGCCGTAGAGCTCAGTGGGCCTTAAAGAAAAGAACACAGTCGTGGCCGGGGGGGATTAATTTATCGCTGAATATATTTCCAGCCTCGCCGCGAGTAGAGGTGGCACGTGACTTAACAGCGGGAGGGATGGCTACTGGACGTGGTGTGCCGGGTGCCGAGCTATTTCGTGGGTCGCCGATCCGGACCAGCCCGGCTAAAAAAAAACATCAATTTCCCCTGTGTATCAGGAGGTGGTGGGGGAATGTACAGCCCACTTCATTTCACACGGCACACAGCCGTGTGTGGTCTAACACTTCAGACACGGCCCGCAAACGATGCACGTACTGTATATATATCCATCCGTCCGTCACTGCGACCATCTGAACTGCGCTAGTTTCGGATACTTTTTGATTTGGAAACACAATGTCCCTTGCACTTTGTGTCGCGCTCAGTCGCGCCCGTCGTCTTAGTTGTGAGCGCACAGGCGATGCGCGTGTTGCAGTCCCAAGCGTGTCTTGTTGCCCGCCAAAGGTTTGTTTCTTAACAAACAAAAACCATCCTATTGGCTCCTCGGTAAAGAAACGGATTTCCCCCCGCCCCTGGCCATACAACATGGATGTTTGTGCCACCCACTTAGGGGCCATCCATTGAGTAGGTAACAGAGGTGGGACAAAGTCATTGTTATGCAAGTCCAAGTCGAGTCTGAAGTCATCAAATTCATGACTCGAGTCTGACTCGAGTCCAAGTCACATGACTCGAGTCCACACCTCAGAGGTGGGACAAAGTCATTGTTATGCAAGTCCAAGTCGAGTCTGAAGTCATCAAATTCATGACTCGAGTCTGACTCGAGTCCAAGTCACATGACTCGAGTCCACACCTCAGGTAGGTAACGCAAAAAATTGTCAAAACTTGACCTCTCCCCCCCCCCTCCCTGTACGCACGCGAACTTTTGACCCCCCCCACCCACCTGCGTACGTAGAACGGACGATATTTAATCCACGCAGAAACGATCTAGGAGTAATAATATTGACGTGTTTAAGCAAACAGATAGTCCACACCGCCGGAATATCTAACTCATTTTAAGTCCAATGTAGACAAATAAATTTATTATCGAGGCTATGCGTACGCACATTGTCAATAGACCCCCCCCCATACGCAAGCGTACGCATTTGGGTTAACCGCCCCCCTCCATGCGTGCGTACTAAATGGATGGGCCCTAACGCACCGCTGCGAACGACACGACAATTCGGAGTGGCGGCCGGCGGCGTTTCCCAGTAGGCGGGGGTTGTTGACTTCTCGGCGGCCCGGCGTCTACGCCGCTGCTGCTGCCGCTGCTGCTGCCGCCAGACTCCTCGGCGTGCCGTCCTCTCTCTCTCAGCCTGAGCCAATTGGCCTCGGAACCCGCGAGCCGTGTCTGCTGCTGTTCCCCCCCCACCACCATCATCCCTCCTTGCTGCGCGCAGAAAATGCAGGGGCAGGCGGCCCTCGTTGGTAAACGAAACCGGTTTCGCCCAGCGTTTGATAAACTCACAATTTCAATGAAGTCTTCACATGCCGCATGCACACGATGTTTGGTGAAGAGGAGTCGGTGGCCTAAACCCGCTGCTGTAGCACCACGCCACGTTGGCCGGAGCACCCGACTCGCAGTTTAAGGAGCTCAAATCCTGGATGGAGGTTAACTCTGCATATCGTCCCTCTGGGGTCAACACTGGTTGTGCTATGGGTAGACTTGTCCTTGCCTTAGGAATTTCCACCGCTGGTTCAGGGCCTGGTATTTGGCAGACACTTCGTTGTGATATGGTTGCCTTGGGGTGCATGAAAGTGAGAAATATATTTTTTCTGAGAGCTCTGTTTCATCACGGATGGCCGAAACCCAGATTTCAATACGCAGGATCTCAGCGGTGCCGGCTCCAGTGCTTGTGACCTCTGAGGGTAACCGGCCACCTTTGACCTCCTCTCTCACGTCCTCAACACGAGTGCCGACTGCAGGGTACAAACACAGCACAAAACGCGTGAGAGTTTGGAGCTAACGTCTTGTCCTGTCGCTGGCTGGAAACGCACTCCTGCATTTTCAGCCAAGTGTCTCTTAGACCGAACGTTGTCATCTTAAGGCGGTGTGTGTGAGATATACACATACACAAGTATATATATATATACGTGGGTATTTACACGTGTACAAGATTCCAGGCTTGAGTCCGGATTAACATTTGGACGTGCACTCGTAGGATGTGAATCGTAAATAGTTGTGAAACATCTCTCGTGACATTGTACAGCAGCATCTCGGTGTTGGGTGTAGTGTGCTCTTTGACGTCGTGTTATACGGACGGCTGATGGTTGAGCGGCATAACTCGCGTTAACGAAGGTACCGAACTCAAATCATGCCCAGGGTCGACTCATCTCCACCATTGTCATCATTTATCAACATCATCATGAACACAATTATCCAATAATTATCATCATCCAATGTCGGTCACCGTCATCTACTTTGCAATTAAATCTCCAATTGTTGCGCTTCGTATTTGAAACGCATAAACAATATCGTCATACAATCATTGCACCAATAACATCATCATCTACATATCCACACCATGCAATAAGTTAATACTATCAATAGCCTTGTTGTCCATCTACAGCATATAATTGTCATGACCGTGCAATAATCATCATTATACATTTATCAGCAGTAGCAGCCATTTATTTTTCATCATCATCATCGTCACCTCCTCTGTGGGGTGAGGCTGTTTGACCTCCCACCGCTTGCTGGGAGGCCAAACAGTGGTTGGTGGCTTCTGGAGCGGACTGGCTTCCGCCACGGGAATGTGGAATTCCCATCACTGACTGGGGGGGGGGGGGGGGGCGGCCTCCTTGAGACACGAACACCACACGGTGTCTGTTTAAGCGTCGAGATGACTTGTGAGAGAGTCTGGTCTCTAGCCCACGTGGGCAGACGCACGTGGGATGCCCACGTGCGTGTCCCGGCGTGCGCGTGTGTGGCCCTCGCTCCCAAGTGCGTGTTTACCGTTAAATGTGACAAACATGGGGTTTGGATTATTATTTAAGGAATTGATTTATCCTTCGCTTTACGTGCAGTAGCGTCTGATGATTGATGGCGCGGAGAATTGCTCTGCTTTGTTAAGATGAAATAGGCGTTTATTTATTGCAATGTGTCAGCTCGGACGCATTCCCAGCTCCTGCCGAAACGGGTGCGAGGTGTACGACGCCTTACTGGCTGGTGGCATTCTCCTACGCTGCGTTATGGAGTGTTGTATCGGCAGGGCATTGTGTTCTTGCCTTATCATCATCACCACCATCACGAACAGCACCTTCACCAATTGCTATCATCACAACCGCCCACCTCCGCTGCCACCTCAAACATTACCACCGTCGTCAAAACCACTTCACCACCAGCATCGTCACAACTGCCACCGTCTTCACCACGATACCATCACCACAACCCCTCTGGCATCTGACCTCGGGCTTGCCGACAGGAGGTGGCAGCGCTGCATGCAGTGAGAAATACTGAACCATAATTCTACAGCCAATCGGCAGCACGAGCCCCAAACTCCAACCACAACGCCATCCCTCTGCCTTGGCAATGGCACTGCCACCACGCCCACGAGTGAATCCGTCAATTGCGAAGTGTTGTGACCAACTCGCTCTAAATGCACCTGGCCTCACAGAATCCCGAAAGCTAAGCAGGTGCGGATGAAGCCTGGTTTTAATACATGGATCGGCGGTGACCACCACCAAGAGCTTACCAGGTGTTGTAGACGCAGGGTGGCCAGGTGTGGTCAGGAGATGGCAGTGCTGAGTGCTACCTCTGCACGCGCGGTGGGTTTACTCCGGATTTTCTGCCCACACGAAGCCAAACTCATTGATGGAATTTCATGTCCAGACATCTAAACACATTTGTTTAATTTTGCCAGGTGGAGCCCACTGAGCCATGAGCTCTTTTTCAGAGGCGGTTTGGCCACGTTTGGTAGCTCATCTAAGTGGCTTATATGTGGGGATGTATAAATGACCGCGTCTAAATGTAGCAGCACCCTCTTGAAAAGAAGAGTCTTGAGACTCCGTCTGGCTCTCCTGGGCAATTAACTGGAATTGTTATCGTTATTTGAGAGTGGTTTTGGCTTACACATGCGTGATGGCAATCCAATGCTTCAGAGGTGGGGTTGGTGAATGACGCAGATCTCACCCCATAATGTTTTTGTGTGACAAGAAACCCCGCGGGGCTGTGTGTGTGTGTGATGTGGCCAGTATTTGACAGTTCAGCAAATAGGCTGCTGGTCTGTCCGTGTAGCAAACGTTTGAGTGTTATCCTTCTCGCTCGTATTGGTCTTCGCCAGGTACTTTCGTCCTCACACGCAACGAATACTGTCATTTGTATAATATCCCACTTGTCGGACGACTCCACTCGGAACAATTCCTGCGACATGGTTGAGACTGTTCTGGCCAAAGGACATTGTTGTATTATCACTGTATTTCTGTCGTTGCCCGAATATGTTAATCGTCACCAGGATTTAATTCCATCTTTGAATTATCTGGAGGTAACTCCCGGGACTCTCCCCTCCGGAAAAGGGGGTGCGTTGGTGGGGGGGGGGGTTGGTGGGGGGGGGGTTGGTGGGGGTGGTTGGTGGGGGGGTTGGTGGGGGTGGTTGGTGGGGGTGGTTGGAGGGGCGATATTTTTCGGAGCTCAGCCCATCTCCCCCCGGACAGCTCCGTGGCTGAAATCAATCCCCGGTTGTAAACTGCAAGTGCCGAATTCTGCTGGCAGGATGTTGTAAATGAGGGTGGCGCTGCCAATGATGCGCCACCAACCACCCCCCGTGATGGACCGAGGCGGGGCCTGGTTTTGAAGCAGTGGCCAAGTATCCAGCCCGAAGGCTGCCCTCGTAGTAGTCATTTTGAAACAAACTTGATACCTGCTAGGTGATGCGAGCCGTATGCCGTCGCCCAAACCTGCAAGAGCTCCCAGCACCCCCCACGTGTGTGTACAGCAAATAAAGACAAAAACATATATCCCCGGAGGTCCCGTCAGCCCGCAACAACTGCTTCCCAAACCATTATCCAACAAGCAACACTGGTATTATTTAGGTATTTCGGTAAAGTCACGTAGATAGGTTCAAATATAATTTTAAAAAATAACTAAAAACTACGATGTTTCGATCACAAGCGATCATGATCGATCACAAGCGATCATGATCGCTTGTGATCGAAACGTCGTAGTTTTCTTCGTTATTTTTTGTTATTTTATATTAATCTATCTACGTGACTTTACCGAAAGACCCTAAAGAATATGAATTCCTGCAGTCACGAAAGCTTTAAGTCAAGATTTAAGCAGCACAGGGTTTGAGCAATAGCAAAAAACAAACCTCTTGGGCCGTTTCGGTTGCTTTGACGCTGGTGGCTCATCTCTCAGCAGCAGTCGAGATCGGCAAGCGGTAAACATTGGATGTTCGGCGAAACTTTGAAGAAACGTCGCCACCCGCGGTTCAGCGTTGTGAGCTGCACGTGTCGAGACTGCACTCATAATGTCGGCACCCGCCGGCCGCTCCGTGCTGTGGTGGTACAACGCGGTGCGTTCGTCGTAATTGCGCCGTGTGTTCTGGTGCCCTCTTTCTCCTCCTCCTCCTCGTCATCATCGCGTGAGACGTGCCGTGCCGTATTTATTGATTACCCCGGGCGCTGTGGAATCAGTCGTGGCTTCCCGTTCGATCCTTTCGTGTCGTCGTCGTCGTTACACTCTTTGAAGAGTCCACCCCAGCGTTGTCTTTCCGTGGCCGTGTCTTGGAGCCGGTTTAAACTCCCAAACCCCACGTTTCCCCATCCCCCGCCGTGTGCCTCCTGTGTGTGAGAGACTCCAATCAGCACAACCTTCATCACACCTCCGTGGGTGTCGCTGTGAATACCAGCGGGTCGATTGCGAAAAACGACCCGAGCCCTAAGCAAGCATCCCTGAGTAAGTACCAACCTTCTCTCGCTATAATTGTAACCTGCCATGAGCACACAGGACCAACCGAATAGTAACGCGATCATTACCCGAACCGACTCGCTCACCCAGTACCAAATACAGTAGAGAGGGGTTCTCCATTGCAAGGCCCGCGAGCCACAGTACACAAGAAATGTGAAAACAACATCATCATCATCGTCGTCGTGTTGCTGTCAAACCCCCACTGGTTTCAAATGTGTGACGGCCCCTCACACTGATGTTGGCTTATCGGCGAAAATTTCCCTCCCCCCCCCCCCCTGAAAATGAGTGAACACAGCTCGACAATTTCGCCTCCAGCCTGTGGCACCGAACCTCCTGCCTTCCCAGGGCTGTGCCAGGTTTCCCTTTCAAAGTCTCCGCCTGTCAGTCGTGATATTCAGGGCACCTGGAGAGACACCCCCTCGTGGCCAGCACGTGTCGTGGGCTTGTGTTGATTTCTTTTGCAAGCGACATGCGTCCGCCAAACCCATCGACTCCCGAGAAGTGCCCGGCGTCACACACAACAACAACAACAACCGTAGAGTGAGGCGTGGCAATTTTAAGTGATGCCGATTTGTATACCAGGGCTCAGCCTACGACAACAACAACTTAAACATTTCACTCCGAACGTCCCCGATCTCAAAAGGCCAAAGGCAGGGCTGAGAAGTGGCTCGCTTGGATGGGTGACCAGCGTGGACAACAACACAATTGACGGGTTTGATAGGCCGCGGTGCAGCAATGTCGGTTATTGTGCTGCACTTCTATGGTCCCCGCATCCTTCACCAACCCGCACAGAGCAGCGCGGTCAAGTCTGACCAGGTAACCCGCGCGACTCACCCGTGCGGCGTGCGGAGGCCTAAATCCGTCAGTAGATTCAACGAAGGGCGGGAGCATCGCAAACATTATGTATTAATACAGTCACAGTATAGGAACTGAATGTTGTAATCGGTTCTCACGCACACGGTGTTGACGCGTGTGTGTATATCGTGATTGAACCGATGCACCGCCTCCAGTCCCGAGCACGTGCACCGCGTTCGGTCAGCTTCACGTGGCGAGATGATTTCCGTCGTTGTTCCACACGGTCAGAAATGAAAACAATAAAAGATACTCAAGATTCGTGGGGTTTTTTTTAGGGCGGTCGTGCCGGATTGAAGATCCGCTTGCTGGTGAACGGGGAGGGGGGGGGGCTTATTCAGGAGGGTCAATTCATGAACTCTTCCCCCCCCCCCATATCCACAAGTGGAGGACACCCCGCGAAAGGTCGGGCATCTTTGCCGGAAACGTGTCGGAAAGAGCTGTACACAACAGTGGCAACTTGAACACGGCGAGAAATGCGCCATCGTTGTTCTCTCCATGGGTCTGCGTTTAGGTGTCATGCGACGGTGGGGGTGGTGAACCCAGGCAGGGCTTTATGTCCACCTGGAGCTGTCCGGCACCGAGCTCCGGAAAATATTTACGCAACCGTGACTTGGCATCATGATGAGTTCAATGAAGGCCCCCCCCCCCCCCGGTGGTTCCCACGGTGCTTGTTTTTTTGGGTTGCATAACAAGTTGTGTTCTCCCCCCCCCCCATGCGCATCGACGCGTTAAAACGTCTGTCGCGGTGCGCTCAACTACGAGGCTTTTGGTGCAACCGCAAAACTGGGCTGCTGTGTAATTACGCAAACACGTGGGTGACAATCACTGTTGTGAAGTTTGGTAATCTACCTCTGGCCTTTAACAGTCGAGTCCTGTTTGTGTTCCGTGAGACTGAGCCCCCTTGTTACCCGATGCCAGTGACAATAAACTATGAAGCCCCCCACGGCCTTGGTCGCTTTGGGTTCATAATCGCGTTGGGGTTACGGCACGTAAACTGCACGGTTGTATTTGTTGTTATAATGTAAGGCCCACTGAGCTGTATAGCTCTTTTTCAGAAATGAACTGGCCACAAACGATCGCTGAACGAAGTGGCTTGTCGTGTAAAAATGTAAGCATTTAGAAACGCAAGTTTCTAGATGTGGAGGGAAAAACCGGAGGAAAAAAAACCACGCGACCACGGAGAGACACGAAATATACAACTCCAATTTATAACTCCAAATATACAGGCATCGAACCCACGACCACAGTGTATACCAGGCGAGCTAATTAACATCTCGTGGCCCGAACGGCAGGCTATCAGGATCGTGTTCCCTACGTTAGCCTATGAGTTGCGTGTCAACGAGCCCTAATATGGAGGTCAATGGGTCTAATGCAAGTTCATGGGTCTCGCGTAAGTCTGGGTCGTGTGGAAGACAAAACGCTTTACGTTTTGGGCCATTTGTAATAATACTTTAATGGTTTTATTTGGAGCCCGATATCCTGGGGCATCCGTCCCTGTGGGCTCAGCTTGACTCAGCACCTGGTCTGCCAAATGGGAATTCGTCTGCCAGTGCGGAATAGCGATTGCTTTTTGGAGTCCCAATTGAGTTTGTAAGTCTATGAGATCAGTATAATCTTAAGGGATCTATGGTTCAACTGTAGGCCCTATGTAAGTCTATGGATCTAATGTAGAGTCTCCATCTCTCCAAGCACGATATTGGCCGAACGGCTATTGGGACGTCTTTGGGCCCAATGTAAGTCTATTGGAACTAAGTGTATGGGCGATATGCAATTATTTATCAAAAGTCTACGGGTCAAGCGGTCCAGTGTTGAACTTTTTAGCATTAATGTGGGTCCCGTCCATTTAAATAAGGCCTCCGTTTTGACATTGTGATATTACGATGCTAAACTTACAAATGGGAAAATGAAGCAAATGCGAAACAGGCACTACGATTAATACATTTTATGCCACAGCATCACCTTTATTGTGCAATATGAAACATTTTACATAAACCAAAATCTCTTGATAAAGATTGCAGCCTATGGCTCTCACGAACACGTGTTGAAGTGCTGGAATTACAATGCTCTCGACGAGGGGTGGGTGGGTGGGGGAAGTCCAATGCCCTGAATATGCCACCAGAGGGCGCTCTCGGCTCTTAAATTCGCGCATTCCTTCGGCCCAATGCCACTTTGCAAAGTTCAACAACCCTCTCCGGACACATTAGGGGGCAAACCAACCAACCTCGTCCCATGCATACCGTCAGCCGAGTGTGCGCGCTCCGATTTCACCAGACACCCAAATCGCCCAAGCAAGCCGTCTCTCTGCACAGACACCCGGGGTTTTAAATTCAGGCTGCATTTGCAGCAACAGCTGGATACAGAGATGAGCTTGCGATCAGATTCCTCCAAAAGTCGTTTAACGGTTGTCCACGGGGCGATCAATTTATAGGTACCCCATTGAAAACAAGAGGGAGAAATCGTCGCAAATTAAACATTTAATTTCAAAGCCTCTTGCACGTCTTCCACACACCTCGACAAAATCGTTTTGCAACATTCAACCACCAAAGAATAATTCCTGCAGTCACGAAAGCTCCAAAATTAAGATTCAACCACCTGTTGAGAAGAGATTAGGAGCATCGGGAGAAATCGGTGAGGTATCTATAAATGGATCACCCTGCATTTGTATAACCTGCTCAAGCCCTTGTTGGGCAGCCGTCCGTCTCGCCTGCCGTGCAGCATGGTTTGCATCCTAATGTTCTGAGGGTCTGAAGAGTGCAAGGGGGGGGGAGGGGGGGCAAATGTGGAAATCTGCCAAGAGGTAAAGAGGGAAAATCAAGAAATATTAAAATAAAAAAAGATCAAATTCCAAGCGCCACTCCAACCCAACAACAGATGTCCAAGTAGGCTATAACAAAAATACATAACACCAGTATAACTCTCCAAAATTAAACACGGATAGAGAAGCTATATAAAAAATATACATTACACCATATTGCTTACATGTCCATAATTCGTCTTGCAGCTCCCAGCAACACAACATTCGTCTCAAGTCGTCGACATCGGTTATTATTATTATTTTGTTTTCACCAATTGCATCGGCACAGAATAAACTTTACAAATAAGTTACGGATTGTTCGGCGGTTCCAGCTCCCACCAGAGACGCACGCGGCACAGATCTCAGCGGCCCGAGGAGAGGATGGTGGGAGAGGTTGGGGGGGGGCTCACGAGAGAATAAGGTCCCCCCCCCTCTCTCTCCCCCGACTTTGGTAGGCGCTGCCCCCCCACGACCGCACACGTCACGTTACAAATCAGCACAACACGCACACGCTCGTAGTCTCGCACAAAGATAGAGCCCCCCCCCCCCCATCACCAAAATCCCCGTGTAGCCTTGACAGGCCTGGGAGCGGGGGGGGGGGGGGGGGCAAGGTGCCGATAGCGATCGCCGAACAGGGCCAGCATGGCGCACGAGGGGAGATGGCGTGGGAAGCGCCGTGTCCCGGCCGCCTGCGTCGCGACGATGTTCACAAACACAGCAGCTGGTAGACTCCGTTAAAACAGAGTCGGCCCAGAGGGAGTTCAACCCAAGCGGCCAGGATCGTAGTGGCGTGCGCAGATCACGACGCCGCCAATTAGCACGCTCGCGCGCACGGAAGATACGCAAACTCGCACGCGCACGTGAGTGTCCGCGGTGGAAAGGCGAGCAAACACCCCCCCACCCCCCCTTAGTGAGAATGTGGTTGTTGTTGTAGGGTCCAGGATGGATGACCGCAAGGGTGGATGGGTTCAGAGGGAAAGAGGGGAGGGAGGTTGAGGCGAGAGCCTACAGGGCGATGAGTCACGAATAAAACCACTCTGACGAGACACGAGGAGTGGGCCCACAACCCACGGCTCGCGATCCGCACGCAGCTCTCGCTCCCAGGCAATTCAAGCGTGGCTCCACAGAGACGTCAGCTAATTCTTTTTTACTTTTCAACGTAACTTTATTTGAAACGGGGGGGGGGGGGGCGGGGGGATCTGCATAAGCGGGAGAGGCCCTGGGACACTCGACCCTGGCAGCAGAGCCAGTCGTGAGCACTCCCGGGACCAGATTTCTAAATTTAAAACTCCAAAGCAGATCGGCGTGAGCATCGTGTGTGTGTTAGGCTATGTGAGGATGTTGGTATGTGACTCATAGGGTCAGGCACAGTTTGGGCAGCCCTGGTCTCGAGTTAATCTCTCGCGGCTCTGCCTCACTGCAGCGGCTGGATACGGGGGACCTCATGTGGCGAGTCCGGCGCAGGCGTTTTTCTGCGCGGTATTGAGGGCATGCAAAGCGTTTCATCGTTAAACGGGGAGCGGGGTTTGCGGGTAAAATAGAAAAATCGGCCGACAATTCTCATTACCCGTCGAGCTGCGCGTTACAGGTTACGTTGATATGGGCTGAGATTTAAAAAGACACATTTACATCGTTGGTGGGGATACACCAAATCGTGGGCTTAGAGCGCATGGTCGTTAAACTGACAGAATATTTTTTTTTTGCAAAATGGCACCAATGGTTTATGAAGGAAAAATGCGGTTCTTTGTCGAAGTTCAAAGCCGTTATCAAAAAATGTTTGGGTCAATTCAATTCAAATATAAATGTTCTGGCAGTTTAACTGATACGTTACGTTCACATTAAATGTTTTGTTTTGCTTTACATCTGCAATACTCACCTTTAAATATTTCATTTATTAGGGAACGCCTGGGCGGTGGGTGATTATAGAGGGCGAGGTTGTAGCTACCTATACAGCACAAAATTCGGCTTGCGGGTTTAAAATAACAGCTACGACACCCTTGTGTGAAGACATTCTTACGGCACAGACGGACACAACGTTTTAAAACACATTGGGACACTTGAAGAAGGGGGGGGGGGGGACCGAGGGGAGGGATAGCTACGAGTCAAGAAACGTTATCAGGAACTAAACAAGACCGATAAGTTTAAAGGAACACAAAAAAAAATGTGCGATCTGGTAGGGTGGGTAAATAAAAACAATAAACCAACAGCACACGAAGATACCGACATGATAGTCACCTGCTAAAATCCCTACAGTGTCCCGTTAGCGTTGGGTACTTTGAACAGCGTGGGGGAGTGACCGTCGCCCGCCTGTGCCCTCCCGCGCACGTCGCGCCGACAATAAGTTACACGGAGGTTGGGCTGCACGCGGCGGCGGTGGGAGCAGTGGTGGGGTGGGAGGATGGTGGGAGGATGGTGCTCATCCTTTTGACGGTGGAGCCGGTTGCCCCACAGTTCGGTCGGCCCGACGGGCCGTCATCGTCATCACCGGCCGTGCAAAGTTCGAGATGGGTTCTGCGCGCACGCGACATCAGTCCAAGAAGCGCTAGTGCCCCCCCCCCCCCCGCCCCCTTCTCCGGCTGCAAGGTCCAGCGAGGGGGGTAGAGAGGACGAGCTGGGAAGCAAACGGAGCTGGAGGTGGTGGGTAGAGTTGGTGGTGGCGGCGGTGGCGGTGGCCCCGTAGGCTCCCTTAGAAGATGTTGGGGCAGTTTTCATACCGACGGTCAAAGTAATTTCCTTCGTAGATCCAGTCCGCGGTGGACGTGTGGGGGTTTAAGTCCTGCCGGAACCACCTGGGAGGCGGCACGGTGAACACACACACAGGCGCGCGCACGCGCACAGATTCACACAAACACACACGCAACCAAACACGCAGGCACGCACGGGTGAGAGGCGGTCAGGAGGAAAACAATGCCGGCAGTCGCGCGGTCTGCATCGCAATCCGCAGTCCAACATAACAATAAAATCAAATAGATTCTCTAGATTTTTAGAATGCAGTCGAGCGACTTAGGCACCCGGCTAGAGATAAACGGTAGAAAAACACAAATACACACACAAACACACAAACACGATTCTTCTAGCCAAGAGCAACAGCACCATAAGGAGCACGTCCAGGGTCGTTAAGGCTTCACACGGTGAGGAATGTACCGACTGCTCACGGCCGCCAATTGGAGATGCGCACCGCCTAGAGTTGCCACCTGTCCTGGCTTTCCCAGAATCGACCTCCTTTTGAGGTCGCCAGACCTGGGAGATCTAAGTCTTTCCAGGATACAAGTCCCAGGTTCTGTCAGTTGCGTAACACTACACCACTTTCTTTTTCTAAGTATCTCAAACTTCTTTCGCACCGTACGTACCCAACCGTGCTAATCGGAGGCGTGGATTAGCATGGTTTTGTGTGTTTAGTTTGTTGTCCTTCCTCCGCACCTCTGGTTAGAACGGTTGGCTAAGTACGGGGCGCGAAAGAAGTCCAATATGCACACACACTCGAGGCGTTTACACGTAGGCCTCCTCCATTCCGATTCTTTTGTGCCTCAAGGAGGTGGCAACCCGAGCCGCGCTCTCCACGCCTGTTCGACCGCGAGAGACGCAACGCTTTGAGCCAGGTTCACGTCTGGGTGAAACGGCTGAAACGTTACCGGAGACGTCAAGGGAGCCCCCCTTTTCCACCGACCACATCCGAGCTGCCGTTGCCAGCGCGCGTCGAGCGGCGGCCTCGTGGGTACAGGTGGCTTTCCACTGGCTCTTTGCCGAGCCGAGTCAGAACCAAACTGTAACACGTGTGCCACACACAATATATGAATTGGCCAAGCAGGGCCAAGGGTGGCGATAATACTTTTTGTTGACATGTGCATTCCATCAGTCAGCACACTTGGGGAGGTTTGATGCCAAAGTCACATGTTCATTTGCGCAGGTTCTGCAGTGGAAAAACCGACCTGGCGCCTACCGGGATGGGTTGGCACGGCCCCGGTGGAAAAGAAGTAAAAGAGGGACATTTGTCCGTACGCGAATCAGACCCTTAAGAGCACGTTTTGAAACGGACGCAGCTCAGCGTGGTGACATAGGCCGTGCTGGACAGGAACTACACTACCACAGGGCACAACTAACCACCGCCACTCACACAGCAACTCACACCACGCTCTACAGTCAACACCAATCGACTAATGACGACGATGACAAAAAACACACACACTGCAACCTGGGCATCGACAAATAGAGCCGGATTACTAGACGTGCAAAGCTTCACTTTCCCCCCCCCCCCCCCCCCGTTCGTCTGATCGAGCAAAGCCGTTGGAGAGAACGGTTTTGCTCCGCGCATCACACACACACACGGCGGCGGGGTGCATGGATTGGGCTGTGGTCGGAATTAAAGAGCGGCTGATGATGGTGGCGGTGGTGGCTGCCTCGTTTATGCAAAGCTTTCCCAAGCTGACAAAGGCAGATTCTTTTTTCGTGGGTAAACACTGTCGCACAAAAGTTTGATAGCATTGTTCATTTAACTCCGTTAATTTAGCTCCCAAGAAAATTTGGGTGGCTTCAAAACGTAGCACAGTTCTGCATATGCAGTGGCAGCAGCGGAACAGCCGTGTCGTGCGCTTGGTTAGTTTCCGTTATTGTTTGGGGCAGACTAGCACAGTGGTTCGTGCACAACTCACAACATCTGCAATGTTGTGAGTTCAAATCCAAATTTGGGGTCGAGCCAATCCATCGTCCCTTCGGGGACAAATTAAATAAAATGGTTCCCTACTCCACTTCATGGGATGTCAACAGTGGTCACCTTGTTCCAAGACTGGACCCTGCCATAGAAATGTGGAATTTCCACTGCTGGCTTATGGCCGCCACGGGAAGATGAGCGGGACCACACACTCGGTTGAGCAGCAAGAACCTCCGACTTGACCCGGGGTCTTGCCACGGTGCGTTTGCTAAATCACCACCAGTTGACAGTTCATAAGAACAAATCGCTAATAGCGGCGGCACCACCACCACAACCACCACGACCACGGTGACGGCACAATTAGCTTGCGCCTCTCCGGGCCACGCGCCCTACATATGTCCTGCAGGCAGTTCACGCGCAGGCGCTCCACGTGCCACTGGCGACAGCGGTGGGAAACGATTCCATTACCGAGAGCAAAATGGCACTTTCAAATACGTGCGGCGGGCCACACGCCGACGCGTGCACGGCTCACCGGTGTCCGATAACAATGCAAAAAATAATTAGCGATAACACATTGACCGCACCGATGCGAGACCTGCGTCTGCGCTCCTCTCACTAACACGTTTATTGTTAATACTACCCTCGAGTACTCTACCGGATTAGTGCAGCCAAGCTGCTTGCAGCAACAGATAAACGTTGTCTGCGGGACGTCTGCAAGCGGTAGGCCTCGCGAGGCTGCAGGACGCGTGCAATTAAGTGGCAATGTTCCCCCCACCGCTGGCCTACAGCATCGGGCCGCATCGCCCTGCTGTGCCGCGCGACTCTCACTTACTCGAACACGCGAGCCTGTGCAACTCGTCTGCTCCGACAGAATTAGCGCGTGCCCGAGAAGGCGTCTTCCGCAAGAGCCGTCTAAATGAAACCGACGGGACTCCCAAGCACGCCTGACGTTGTCACGCGGTTGTAACCCTTTGGCGACCGACGTCGGCCCAACGTTTCCGCGTTTACGGGACGGGTCTCCAGCTACGCAGCTTCGCAAGTGGCGCGTACAAAGAACGTCCGCCGGCGCGCCAGGGTAGCGACAGCGCCGACCGGCACCCGCTGCAGGATGTGTAACGTTGCTCGCCAGCCAACCGCCAAATGGCATGCACAAGACGAAGAACTCGTTCACGTTCATCGCGTACAACACAACCCCGTGGCGACACACTGCAGTTACGGCAGAAGCTTTGCACGTTCCCAGATTATTTGTGATTTTTTCTGGGGGGGGGGGGGGGAGGGGGGGTGGTGTGAGGGTAGGGAGAGGGTTGCGTTTTGGTCAACAAGATTAAAAAAATGCCGCGTGCATGAGAGTAGAGGGGAGTTGAGCGGCCGGGCCCAGCCAACAAGAGAGCTTGAGAGCCGTGGTTCAGGTCACAGGCAGCTGCTGACAGTTCCACCGAGCTGAACACTAAAAGGCATCTCTCTCAAGAAAAATTACATTAAATTAAATTGTAGAGGAATGTTTCCCCAAACGCTAAAGCTTTAACAATAATAACAGTGACGATCATTTGGACTGGCACCCAGCCAGCACAGGCCCAGGGCTCTCCCCCTCTCAAGACACACGGCAGTTTTTTTATAGCTTTTTTTTTTTAACCAGCGACACACAGATTCCCCCACGCGACACGACCGCGTTTAGAGCCAGCAGTGGCCGCGGGGGACCCGAGCCTCTAAAAGCTGCACACCTTCCATTTGGAATGTTTTGCCTTTTCGGAGAGCACCAGGGTAGTGGTGGTGGTGGTAGTGGGGGGGGGGTAACGACAGAAACAAAAATGTTATCGGTGTTAAAAAGGCATTCGCACACGCACGCATGTGCGTGCCAGCAAAAACACAGGCAGAACGCGCGGCTTTACCTGGAGTGTGTCGGCTCAACCCTAGAAAGCACAGGAGGCGAAAAGGTTTCAAGAGGAGCTTGGGAGCAGAGAGGTTAATACACGCGAGGAGTGACGGCCTCATTGGACCAACCCATGGTGTGGTTTTGTTTTTTTTAATTGGTCGACGACGCGACCAAGTGACCATGCGCGCGCGTTTACGGAGCGATGAGGGGAGGGCGATTTCGGCCGCCGCGAGACCGGTCAAAAGTATTTATTTATAGATGCAGGTTCAAGCGTGTCAAAATGGGCGACCCGAAATCGATGGCGTTTACTCCGCCGAGGTGATGGCCGAGAAAGATGATTCATCCATTTCCTGACGAGGAGAACGAGGGGACCGCGTAGTTACGATTGCTGTGGCGTAGTAGTCGGGGTGCACGTGGGTCATGCGAGCATTGCGACTCATGAGTTGTGTTTTTTGTTGTCGAATAATTTAACTACTAATTTTCCGTTAGCTTTTACCGGCATTCAAGCGACCGTCTTCATTTTCCTGCCTAAACCACAAGCCATACCCGTTTGACCAATCCTCTTCCGCGACCGATACTATTCGACATTACCTCGAGATGTTAACAAAACTCAAACGTGACCCCCTTCGCGGAAGGCCAAACATGCATCGCTCCCCAGGATAGAACGACGTGCAGTGGCAGAGCAAAGTAGATGGGGTCTGCCCCTCCCCCCCACCCCCTTCGGAGAGCAGCTACCAAGCGTACAACTCAAATCGGCGAGTCTCCAATTCGAATTCACTCTTAAGACTCGCTTCCACGACGCCTCTCGGCTATGGCTAGTCACGTGGGTCTCCGCCCGGCTCGCCAGCGGGGGGCCAGAAAACATTCAGTGAGGAAGTCAGCCGTGGTTTTTCTTAGCAGCCACTCTGCAGTTTTGTATTACCCCAGGGGTGTGAAGCAAAGGTTGTGGTAAAGGTGGCAAGGGGTGGGGGGGGGTGTATCGGGTCTCACCTCGTGTGCCACTCCTCCTCAGTCTTGGCACGCTGCTTGCGCGCCGCTCGCTGCTTCTCCTCTAGCCTGTTCTTCTCCTCGCCGGCAAGGTCTGAGCGACATGCACGAACGCGCAAACGACATCATCATCGTCAGCCATCCACTACGGGATGACAGCCCACCTGCCTGAATAGTCACCATCTCTCACGCTCATGCGATGTGACAATCCACGTAACACCTGAGCACGAGCTGTTTGCGTCGCTCTGGATACACTCTGGGGCATGTTCACCCCTTTGGCTGCCACTCTATTGTTAGCCTTGACCACCGGGTATCGACGCTTCTAGCGTTGTGTCCTTGTGTACGTCTCCTTAGCTGTGTGTTCCTCCATCTCTGTAATTCCAGCGTGCACCTCCTCAATGGGCAAGTTTCTCAAATACCCGCGGCCTCTCTCCACTTAGCAGTATTAATTAGGTACAACTAGAGATCTGGCAAACGTGGGACTCTCTTCAGTTCCTCTAGTGGGGGCGCATCAAGTCAGTCGTGGCATGAGCAAGCAATTGTACGGCTGCACCTTGACTTTTCTCGTTCACCCTCTGTAATGCGTCAACGATTGCGTCGCCTCCCGTGTGGCATGGGGAGGGGGCCCTCATCCAGCAGTGGATTGACAAAAAGAGATGCACGATGACAGGGTTAACGGAGAAGGGGGGTAAAGATGTGAGAAGAGGCGGCGGGCGCTGCAGCGGGCGGTTCGTGCGATTACCTATGTCACCCTGCTCCATCGCTTTCATGTCTGGGCGCAATCGGCAGTCCGTGGGCGCCAGCAGTCCCTCCATCTCCTTTTCCATCTCGTTCAGCGTGAGCGCGAAGCTTGTGAAGTTGTACATCTGCACAGGGTGGGGGGGGGGGGGGGCGGCCGACAGTGACCTCATGCAGCAGTAGCAACAGCAGTTGCAACCTCGCGTCTACATTGCTCATCCTCTCTTCCGTGCGCAAGTTACCCGCACCTCTAAACATACAGGAAACAAACTTGCGATGGATGGCTATAAATAGACGGCTACGAAAGGTGCAACTTTTTTTTTTATATATATAACGGAAGGACAGGAATTAAATAAAGCAAAGAATAGCAACAGTTCTAACAGTCCTTCATATAAATATAACTTTAGTGATGATGACGAAAACAATTTGGAAGAGTAGCCGGGACTCTCGGTCAAGATGTGCGAATTAAAACCCTGGCCAAGGTCAACACAGCGCAGTCATCATCATCAATGTGTACCTGGGGTGAGTAAAATGAGCACCACCTGGTGAGGCTGGACCCTGGCATGTATGGAACTAATTGTCCTAATGACAGACTGATCCACCTCCAAACGAATAAGGCATCTCCACAACTGGGTCGGGACCACCAGTAGAGGATCAACACTTGCCAATGCTTATTTAAACAAAAGCACACTGACCATTTTCGACTACAAATGAAACCGGCACAGCTGAAGCATTTGACAAATAGATGCCCGATGGACCCGCGTGCGAGGACTGCATTGAAGAGAAAACATTTTCCCATGCCCATGTTTTGTGTCTCCCAGTGTCTGAGCTTTCCCCCCCTGCGTTGTCACATTACTCATGCCATCTCCCTATTTCCTCCGTGTGCCACCACTCGTGTTGCCCGTGTGTGTCCCCCCGCCCCACCCCCCCCCCGCGTCTTGACGGCACGCTTGTCTGGGCAGGCACCTGTATCGAGTTGGCGGGACGCGGATGCACGCGCCACAGCAGCTTGCTCCCAGGCAGCACCGTCACGGTCTCCGGCACTTCCAGCGTGGGGATGTCATCCGCCTCGTCCGCCTCCGCCTGCTGGCCGGACGGGCCGCTCGACTCCGCGGCCACCTACACCGCCACGCCACAACACAGCCGCGAGACGCCTCGTCGTGATCAAGGCGCCCACACGTTATTGGCACCGCCATGTTATCGGCAAAGGCTCCCGGGCGCCCCGCCACGGATGCGTGTGCATGCGTGTGTATCAGCCAGTGATTTCGGTCATCTCAAGTCAGTCGACCCGTAGCACTTGGGTCTGCCCCGTGATCTCCTGCCAGCGGGCGTTCGACACTTCACGTGGCCTCAAGGTGCACATGGCCTGGCACAAGCGTCGTGGTGACGTCACCGCGACTTAGTGGCGAATGGCGGTTGTTGTTGTTGTGTATGGGGAGCGGTAGTACAGCGGTTAGCGCGCTGAGCTACGGACCTGGTGATATGGGTTCGATACCCGGTCATGGCCAAAACCAGTGAAGATTAACTGAACCGGTCCTGAACCTCCGTTTGGTGAACTCGGCCTAAAATGAGTACCTGGTGCTGTTTATAAACATCGCCACTGGGGAGAGAAAGGCGGCCAGGGGTGGTGCTGGCCACCCACCCCCTCGTGGGCCATCTCGGCCATCCTATAGGTGCTCGCTAACAGCACTTGCCCCAACAGTGCGTTACGGCTATACAGAGGATATTTATCTTTGACGTACCAGCTTGGCCAGCTTCTCGGTGGACTTTTTGTCGTTCTTCTTCCCCACCTCGTAGATGCCAGGGTCGACGGACCACAGCACCTCCGTCCATTTGCCATAGATCACAGACACCTTCTTCTTGCTGTCACGCCACGCACGGGCCCACCGCAGCACAACCGTGGAAACGTTTAAACACCGAGCGTGCAGGAAAAACAAAAAATACTATTTCACATGCGAAACGCGGACAGAGGCCTGCGGCTTTTCTGCTTGGTGATATTACGTGCCCGGAACGATAACGAAGCCTTGAACCCTCGCCACTAATTTACTATTTGTATTTTACCAGGTAAGGCCCACTGAGCTGTATAGTTCTTTTTAGAAGCTACCTGGCCACAAATGATAGCTCAAAGAAGTGGCTTTTGTGGAAATTTATAGCATTTATAAACGCATGTTGCTAATTGTGGAGATAAAAATGGACGCGTCCACGGGGAGAACATGCAAACTATAATATACATGCATCAGTCAGGATCGAACCCACGACCTCCTGTATAACAGGCAAGCTAGTTCACATCTCGCCACCATGGCACCCTACCAATGCCGCAAACACTCATTTGCACGCAGTACTCTTAGTCATCTGTTGGAAGACGTCTGGCCAGCGTGGATGAGTAGGCCAAATACCCCCCAGAAGGGATCTCTCTCTTGTGCTCCCTCTGGTGGAGGCCCTTGTGCCAGCAGCTACGAGTTTAATTAACTATAAGGCTACACCTTTACCTCTATTATGTGTATCCATCACGTGACTAAAGAGGCCTAAAGAGGCTCCAGAAGCAGTGACATCATTACGAAGGAAAGAGTGGCATCACTCATGAGACCGTCGGCGTTTGAGAAGAGAGACAATCCGCTACGCCCCAGATGCGCCCAAATCACGAGCGACGTCCCGTAAACGTTCGTGCCGCGCGCCAGCAACGGGGCACGTGGTCGGCCTGGGACTCACTTTTTGTCCAGGATGTATCCCTCCACCTTGTGAAGTTCCTTGCCGAACAGCCCACAGGGCTTGAACGTGAGCATGCACTTGTCGCCCGTTCTGCAGAAACACAAGTTTCACCTCGGATTCGCCACCATCGTTTACATCGTCGACACACTCCCCGGGGAGAATGGGGGGGGGGGGGAAATCACAAGCAGTGAAAGGCAGCACGCGCCATCGCGAGCGCTTCTTGGAACTCGATTGCCGCGCACGCTGCAATCCGGTGCCGCTCAAAGACCGGTAACCGCCTGGCGCCCACCGGTTAGACACCGCCAGCAAGAATTATTTTGAATTAACGTTAGGCGAATGTATAATTAGTTTAAACTGAATTTTCACAGAAAGCAAGGGTTGCTGGAGTGGTGGGCACATCAAAGGAACAGGGTGCCAGATGAAAGGGTGAGCGGCAGCGCGGGGTAGGGGGGTGGGGATGAGTGGACAGCGGGAAGATTTTGTGGACGGTGAACGCGATATACTGCAGCTGGCAGAGAGACGGCGGGCGGCTGGTGAAAGTGTGTGTGGTGGGCGACGCTCACTTGTGATTGGTGATCTCCACCGAGCCGTACTGCTCTATCCAGAGCTTGCCCACGATCACGTTGTGCACACAGCAGCTGGGGTTAGGTCCACGTGTACGCCTCGCCGTACCTGCAGCAACCAAGCGCACGCGCACAACGTACACAGTCAGTGAGTTCATTGCATTTCCCTTAAGGGAAAATTGCCAGCTGACGACAAGCGGCCGTCGTACTAAAAGTCAGGATGTGCCATGGCTGATGATTGCAGGCTTCTCTCTCAACTGTGCAGAGATTCACTGTTACCAAGTCCTGCTTAGCTTCCAAGATAAAAACGGACTTCAGGCACATTTCCAGGTGATACGGTCATAGCTGTCTCTCTCTACAAGAAAGTAAAATTACATTTTATAGTCCACCATCCGGAAGGGGGCAGTGTAACAAAAACACATTATTTCTCTTCTGCACTTCGTATGTATGTAGTATGTAGAACTTCTTCCGCAACATACGTATACAACTGTGCTAATCGGAGGTGCAGGGCAGGGACTAACAAACTACACACAAAAAGCAGTTCTAAAGAAATAACTTTTCAATCTAGATTTAAAAGTGCATAGCTTCAGTGGCTTCCTAATATCGGAAGGAAGAGCGGCTGCAGAAAGCGCATCTGAAAGCGTGCGATGCAGCGATCGAAATAAAAAGATACCACACGTATGCTCTCCGCTCCATCAACCCCCCGCACTGACCACCAGCGTGGTGAAGTTTGGCCAAGCAACCTCCACCCCCCACCCCCCTCCTCACGACCGATGACCCACAACGGCGTGGAGGGGGGAGAGGCCTTCATCCAGCAGCAGATCGACAGGGGAGGCTCCTACAAGATAGCGCTGCGCACCTGGGCAGCTCCAGCGTGATGATTCCGCGCGGCTCGGCCTCCACGCTCTTGCCCCAGAACTTGAGCTTGGGGTAGACGGAGCCGTGGAACACAAAGTCCTTGTTGAGGCCCTCGGCGAAGAAGGCGCTGATGGGCGGGTGGTGGCTCACCTGCTCCGACACCAGCCGGAAGCCCAGGTCCTCCCTGCATGGCCAGTGAGAAATTGTGGCGGAGAGACGGGGACGGCGGTGAGGCGACGAAGGGCGGTTGAAGTGGGGGACAGCGAGGGCCGGGTTGGCATTAGGCCACGTGCTCCCAGAAATTCGGATTCTTCCCCTAACAAAGATTTCTCAGGACACCTTCCCGGAGGACACGTCCCAATGACCCGTGAACGGGACGAGACGGTGACACTCGACGGAAGGAGAAGCTACGACGCTTTGCCAGGAGAACAGGCAAAAAATGCAACGGGCTCAACGGGAAAACACGAAGAGCGTTGCTTGGGTTTTTCGTGCGCCCATTGGGAGTTAGTTTCAAGCAGTTGCCGACGGCTCGGCGCGGCGCCGTTTGAGTCACCTCTCTCTCTCTCTCCCATGGCAACCAGACACGGGGTTGTTACCCAGCAGCGACACCTGTTTGTGACATCACCCGTCACAGTTAACCTACAGCCAAATCGCACGAGGTCGTCCGATATCTATTCAGATTTTGTGAGACCTCCAAAGCCGAGCCGGTTAATACTTGGATGCCAGACTGCCAGGGCATACTGGGCATTGTAAGCTTGGTCTGCGAGGTGGCCACAAGACGGCAGTAGAATGCTGGACCTTTTACGCATGGTGGTGTGGAGCTTTCTCCAGGCTCTCCGGTTCCCTCCCACATGAAAGGCAGACTCCCATTAACAATGGAATTGATGGAAAAAAATCCCAATGTAGCAGCACACTCCTGACAAGATCGTCCCGAGAAGTTGCGAGGCTTTTCTGTGCAAAATGGAGCGCATTACCGATATCGTTAACATTAACTCGTCGTTAATGTTAACTTGTTCATTGGGGTGGGGGGTGGGGTGGAGGACTCACCGGACCATTTCGTAGGTCTCTCCCAGGAGCGGGTTGAAGGGTTTCCCTGTCCGCTCCCAGTTCGATGCCACTGCTGACACGGCAAAAGCGGCTACGCACTGCAAGCCAATGGGGCCAGCATCACACAAACGTGCACACACACGCACAGAAAGAAAGGATATGATCCGATGTACAGCCACGCTAACTGTTGGAACAAGTGCTGTGAGCGAGCATCATTTAGGGCAGGAAAGAGGTAAGAGGGGGTTGGTGGGATCGGTGCTATGCCCAGCCACCTTTATCTCTCCCCAGCGCCGATGTTTCAATACCGTCAGCTGAACAATGCTGCCCGAACAAATTGGATGCCCCCCCCTAAACGTACCAGCTCATCGTCTGGTGCGACGAGATATTTCGGAGGACAGGACGACAGGTTGAGGGGAGAGATGTGGAGCTAAGGAGAGGGGCAGCAGCACCTGCATGCGCTCGATGGAGCTGCTGGAGGTGTTGGCCTTGTGGATGAGGTACGTGTGCTCCATGTACTCGCACAGCCGCTGCAGGAAGCTCAGCGGCTCGTTGAATATCACCGGCATGGTGATCTTGGACAGCTCCTACAAGTGTAACAACGTGTGTGGAAGAGGGGGATTGATCCCAGCGCATGCCGATTTGGCAAGTGATCAATACTTACAAGTTACGATACAAAGCAAGTAGATGCACATCCCTTTTGTCAATCCACTGCTGGATGAGCGCCTCCCAGCACCGCGCGGGCCGTGTCGGTTATTTTACCGTACTGCACCACGCTCGTCAGTGCGGGTTGGCGAAGGCGGAGAAGCATGGACGTAGGAGCATATAGGTAGAGTACAACAGAGTTTCCTGCACCGCTCCGGGCGGTCGCCCATATAGGCACTACCCGGCCTCGACGCCGCTCAGCTTCCGGGATGCAACGAGGTCGGGTGCATTGCGGGCGACGAGGTGGCAGGAAGCGCCGCTGGCTGCCGACCACCACGAACAACGCCACAGCGTGCGGAGAACCCGGCAAGGGTGGCGGTCGGGCCTCACCATGCCAATGCACCTCCGAAGGAAGCTCCAGATGCTGAAGTTGCTCCTGGAGAACATGGGCGCTGGAAGGGAGATCCTGGAAGCACACAACGCCGGCACAAGCTTTCAGGCGGAGCAGACGCGAGGAGCAGACGCACGTGCACCAGGAGGTAATCCTTCGTTGGGTAAAAGGAAGAACGCCAAAAAAAGGCAAAATAATATTTTCTGTTTGTTAGAAATGAAATTCTTCTTCGTATGGCTGGGGAAGCAATTATAGTTTGATGTCGAGGTTAGCAATCCATTCAACGATTTCACGCGAGGCAAAGTTTATGGTTGCGATGCCGCAGGGACTGGATCTTGCGAGTGTCTGACTTGGTGGGTGGTGGCCGCAGTCTCAATTTGGACTGCTCCTCATGTGGAGCAAGCGGCCACACCTTCCCTGGCCTGTCCTCAAGCGCTTGAGATTTGTCCCAAGTTTTCCGTGGACAGTTGAACCCTGGGACTTTACTTCTCAGGTCAGTTATCAGGTTGCAATTAGGCAAATGTTTGCATTCAACCTCGAGTTGGGCCATGGAAATTAGATATGAATTAATGTATTCAAGGCTGGTAGTCCACTGCTGATCATGGAGGTTTTGTTTGAGCATACTTCACTACATTGGTCAGTACAGATCGGTGGCGGCACCAGCACTGGTTCGGATATCACCCACGGCGGACGTGAGCCATGGCCGGGAATCGAGCCAAGGTCGCTGGGTTCAGAGCACAGCGCGCCAGCCACGGTGCATAAAACACTGAGACCACCAACAGCCGGAACCTCTCTGGCAACTTTCTATCAGCTTTAGTAACACATACTCTTGGAAGTATGCCAAATAAATGGAGTTCAAATTCTTACTTCGTATTTACGTTGAGAACCCTTCGAAATAGATACAAGCTTCCATAGGCTGAGATTGAAAAGGGAAAAAATGAATGGAGGAGAATGTTTCTCAACAAAATCAGAATCTTTATTTATCCTGGAGGAATCTGATGACCTATAAAGCTCTTTTTCAAAATGTCCAGTAGGGGCGGGTCAGAAAGCGCCAATAAACAGTACATAAAGTATAGGAAAGGTAATTGCAAGTCACTAAAATAAATAAAAATAAACATATGTACAAATTGCATAACTATGTAAATTCCTTGCAAATTTGCCAACACTTAACACAAGCTTGGGCAAGGCAGCGAAACAAAAAACAAAGTCCCAGACATTACAAAGACACCGCACAGTCCCAACAAGATTTTAAATGTTTCTAATTACAAGAATAGATTTGACCATACATGTACCAAATGTCATCTTTCTAAAACAACAAAACGCAACACAATCGTCAATCCAAAATAGTCAGCGCATAAATCTATAGAGTGAATTGAAGGATAATGTGTTGCATTTAAAATACGCAATACAGCCGAGCTCTATAATGATGCTGGACAAAGTGGGAGGATGTGCGAAATGTTTACACGCGTGCTCCATTCGCGCGCAAGCCCCTGCTGTGAAGGCGTTTGCACGTTCCGATTGCATTTATTGCCCAACAAATTATTTAGTTATTATTGGTGCCTCAAATGGGAAATTGGCAGCTTATACAATACAAGTGTTACGCATACAGATGTGAAAACTCAATTCTCATTTCTTTAAAACCGTTTTTTTGCGTTTAGTTTGTTGTCCTTCACCCGCACCTCCGATAAGCACGGTTGGCTACGTACGGTGCGAAAGAAGTTTAACATACGTAGGAACGTACAAAAATCACATCCAAGTACATTCGTTGATGTTTCTGAATGCAATTATTAGGAAGGTAGTAAACAGTAATTCCAGGTTTTTTTGGGTTAGATCACGTGAATATCTAAATATGTTGTTAAACCCGCCACCACCCGACACAGCCAACTAGTAAGGGTTGTCACGTCAACAGAACGTGGCCAATTCGTCACTAGTACAGCACACCGGTGTAGTGTAGTGTATAGTGTAGTGTATAGTGTAGTGTAGTAATGTATAATAGTGTAGTGTATAGTATAGTGTATAGTGTAGTGTATAGTAGTGTATGGTATAGTGTATAGTAGTGTAGTGTATAGTGTAGTATACTAGTACAGCACACCGGTGTGTTGGAGAGCCAAGCCACAACATTTACAAATCTGAGAACGACATTTCGCCAGTAATTACAACCAGCTTCATCAGGCGACAGCCAGATTTGTGGAGAAGTCCACCTGTTTCGTTCCTTAATAGAGGCGTAGATGTGGTGACCACACAAAAAAATCTATTAGGGATGATATTGGTTGTGAAAGCCGACGTGCTAAACAAACAATAAATCACCATTATCAGCCACAATAAATCGAATGCAGAAGGCAGGAAGGCATCCCTGGCCGCAAGCTTGTCAACCTCTCTAACGATCCTGGCTGTGCTCCTTCACACACGCGAATTTCATTCCTCTTTCTCCCCGAGAGAGTTTCCTCTCGGGAGCATTCTCTCCGTTGGCTGCCGCTCCACCGCAAGTCTCGACCACGCGCCGTCGTCATCCCTTCTGGTGCCCTGCTCAAGCCCACTGACCTTTCTTAACAGTCGGTGCGAAACACCATCCGTAGAAAATAAAAACCTCCTCCTTTTAAAATGTGAACAAGCAGAATATCACTCGGATTATTTCCATTTTAGCGCAAGTCTCTAAACACCGAGTTGACAACAGGTGGTGTAATGCAGTGTAAGTTTGTCAAATTTACACTGCACGCAAACTTCATTAAGGTCCAGGAGGGATTTGGGGGATTCTAACCCTCGGCATAAAACGATGTTGGCAAGCAAGCAACCTTAGAAGATCAAATGGATTTTTTTCCAGCTGCGATCGTGACTATTAATTTGCGGTATCATCTTCAAATGACTCACCCTCGCCTATATCTCTCCCATCTCCTCTCTCCACTGTGCCCCCTTGCATTGCCCTCTGCTCCAGAAACCAATACCTTCTGTCAAAACACAGCTATAAGCTTTTTTTAGGAGGGGGAGGGGGGCATTTAGAGCTCGGGTAGTTTAATCAGGAAAGATTACCTCACTTAATTTTTTTATTAAATAAAAAATATATTAATTAATGCCTGAACCCAAAAGATACAAAACATAATTATTTCTGGATCCACCTGCATTTTGCATCACAGCCTCACGAACCACCTAGAGGATCGTCGCGGACCACACTGGTGGTCCAGGGGGACCACACTTTGAGAACCACTGGTCTAGGACACTACTTTGTAAACCCAAGTTGTAGTTTAAGGTATGCACAGATGAACTGAGAGAACACAGGCATGGGTGTGCGTTAGCTGCGGAGTAGCGCGGAGACTTGGACAACACTTGTGAAAGCAAGTGCTCGATTAAAATCTAAAAATAGTTTAGCGCCTCTCAGTGTGCTGCAGGAATCAATGCGTCGGTTATAAACAGCAATTACTCGGTGGTCACGTGGCCACCACCACACATCTCTCCCATGTCGCGGACGCGTCAACGTTAACACTTGCTCAGAAGTGAACAATGCAAATGCGGAAATAGCTTGATTAGCAGATATATCTATCGCATAGTCAGTAGTGTAAATTCCAAATTCATATGGCAATGACCATCCTATCATAATCTCTCCATCCAAATGTAGAACACCATGGATAACCTATCTATATAAAAGGGTAATTTGTGAATGTGTGTTTGTTCGAAATGTTTAGCATACTTCCCAACATGCAACAAACTTGAAATTTGGCATGTGCGTAGCTTCCAGACTGTACACAATGCAATAATAGATATATTTTGCGAGCGGTGACGTCACATCTGTGATGTCACCCGCATGCGGCAGCGTCACGCAGTGTGCCTGCTGACGTCACGCATCCCCCCCCCCCAACCCTCCGCGTAGGCCGTGTATTAATCCAAGACAAGAATTCAAGTCTCGGGTGAAGCCGGGTAGTAAAGCTAGTAACTAATACAAAAATACATCATTACAATATAACACATAAGTTTTCGCGACCAATATCCGTAAAAAAAATGTAGTTAGATCGCGTAAATATACATTTTTTGTTAACCCACTACCACCCGACACAGCCAATTAATAAGGTTTGTCCCGTAAACATAACGTACAAATTAGTTACTCCTTCAGTAAACCGATGCGTTGGAGATTAAACCCACAACATTTCCAATTGTACAACTGTAAATGTTGTGTTCAATTATACATGTTATGGGTTTGTTGTGGCTTCCCTGAAGTAGAAACTAATTGTCACTTTTTGTTCACGTGACAAACCTTACTAATTGGCTGTGTCGGGTGGTGGCGGGTTAATGACACATTTAGATTTACGTGATCCAACCCAAAAAATAAACCCTTTAACCATGGATAATAAAAATAAGGCACTATGTTTAAGACTTATGTAGGCGGCGCAGTGTACTCGGACTTTCGGGCAATGCCATGTGTGGGTGTTCGGCACCCAGAGGCGGAATAAGCGGCTACGGTCTCGACCCGGTCGCCAACGAGGGCACGAATAAAATTGAAAAAAATTGCAGTCATGTTAAATTTGGAATCGAAACTTCATTTGGCGAAAGATCCAGCTCTGAGAGAGAGGTAGACAATATCAGATCGACTGCTTGTGAGAGGAAAACTTTCCCCAAAAATGTGTTAAGCTAGGCGCCTCTGGGAAAAAAGCAGGGCACCTAGGACCTCCACGAACCCCCCCCCCCCCCCAACTGAACCACTCTGAAACGATTAACCCCCTCCGCGCGTCGACGGATCGGCAAAGTTCACCACATTCGATTCAGGAGCCGATTATTTGTTTATTTGCTGTACGTGCTTGAATTCACAGTTTGGCAGCGTGGCGTCTCATACCAGACAGTGACGAGTCGACCTTGCACGACAGCGGGACCGGGTTCGGCTATCACTCGACACCGAGGTCAGCCATGACCGGGAATGGAACTCGAGGTTGTTGGGTTCACAGCGCAGTGCACGAAAAGAACCACTGTGCCACCGCTCCCCCATCACGAGAATCACCGGGCAACCTTTGTCGACCGGAGTAAATCCTCGCATGGCGAATGAAACGCCAGATCCGCGACCAACACTCACCATCAGGCTGCAGCGCAACGAGCATTGGTGTGCTACAGGTCACAATTAAAATCCAAATGGGAGCTCGACGTCTCCTTTCTTTTTCTCTTTCCCTTTCCTCTGCTTCTCATTTACGGCCTCGGATCACAGCCAGGAGCTCCTCTGGATCCATTCGCTCATTAACAACAGAACGGATACCACCCCCCACCAAAATTCCGATTTTTTTAAGTTTCGCAAGAAGCTCACGCGGCGCACCGTAAAAGCGGCAGTCGTTTTGTGCGTCGCTAATCTTAGGAAGGCCCAGGAGGATGACATCTGGCAGAGCCATTCATGCGCACATGGTGATGCACTGCTTACTTCGCAAATTCCAAATGGAGATTTATTTGCCCCTTTGCACGATGCAAATAGCGCCAGTGAAAATGAACTCGAGTCAGTAAAAAATAAACAAATGTAAATTTCATTTTTTTTTTACTTTACACGAAACTTCACACGTAAATAATTTCACAGTCTAACCACTAACAGCTTGACCACTTGCGAGCATTTCATCAGAATCGGGCAACGCTGGGTCAGACGCGCCTGGAATGAAACCAGTAACAGAGAGCAGAAGAATCTAGCCCAGGCTCCATGGTGGTGGGGGGGGGGGGACAATGCACTCAACTCGTTAAGGGTGCGTCCTCATCTAAAACATCCCCCAGCATCGGCCGACAAACGCGCCCGCCGACAGAAGCACCGGTACCGTGGCTCCAGACACAACACGGGGGATTAATTTAATTGAACGGAAGCGACGCTAGACCGCTTCACCCCGCGACGCCACCCACGAGGAATTCGTCAGCGCTCGCTCGATCCATCGCCATTTCCCGCCGCAAAATTGTTGCGAAATTGGGCGCTGCATTGGGAAATGCCGGCCGATCCGCGCGCGTCCGACAGAGCAATTGGGGAAATAAGTCTGATGGAATGTGGTGAACAAAAATACGATTGTCGTTGTTGTTGTACTTCGCACCAACTGCATTGGCCCAGCTTGTGGCGACTGTGAAAGGTTGTTCAACTATGCAGCAGCAGCAGAAGAAGGGCATGTGTTACCAATGTAATGTGCTGTGTAGGCGCATTAGTACCAACTAGTGCAGGGGTGGGTGGCCAATGGATACACTACGGGAGTTTAACATGGACCACTTCTGCATGAGGCCGACACTACTTAGCAATAGCCCACAAACCAAATTAATATTTTTTCCTGCCAGCATCTTAGCCGCGCTGATCGGGTACCAGAAAAGAACATTTTGGACATGAGAGCGCCTCCCGGCCTGACTGCTATCTCATCACTAATTTGAAGCTCTTGTTCCTGTGCTCAGCAAACAGCCCATGACAGACCCCCCAGTTGCGTGGCTATGAGATAGCCCGCTGTGGGCTTCTGAGTCTTTCTTCAACGGTGTTTCATGTTGATTATCTACGCGCGTAAATCGCGTGAACGGCAGAGACACAGACTTGTGACTTTGATTCAACGTTGGAGACGATAGAGGATGTGCACGCCCAGCAGACTTCATACGTATTCAAATGCATCCAGGAGTAGCCTTGTAAACTAAACTAGTTTTTTGTTTAGCTGTGTCGGGTGGTGGCAGGTTTACCTACACATTTATATTTACACGATCTAATACAAAAAACCTCTATTATGGATAATATTGGTAGCGAAAGCCTACTTGTTAAACTAAACTATTTTTTTTATTTTACCAGGTAAGGCCCACTGAGCTTTATAGCTCTTTTTCAGAAGCGACCTGGCCAAGAATGCTAGCTCAACAAAGTGGCTTATCACGTGGAAATGTCCAAAGTCAGCTCCCCACTTCCCCACCGTATCGAGCGCCCACTGCAGGCGGAGCTGACCACCTACCTAATCTGTTTACGCACGAGCTGCACTCACATCCCTTTGGTGTTCAGTGTTTTTTTAAACCTTACAATGGTGGTTGTTGGTGAGTGATGCCAGAACAAGACAATCCACCTTCGAGGTGTTTGAGTGCTCAAAGAAATTAGCACAAACACGTACCATATATATTAAATGTATTGTTGTTGCTATTATTATGATTACACAATGAGCTAAAGATAATGGATCAAATAACACTTGTTAAAGACAACACTAATGAGAAACAATACAAATGATGCGGAAGAAATGAAACGAGAAGGAATAGATTTTTTGAATCCATCACGACCCCGAATCGTGACAATTCACGGGGCGGAATAGGCAAGTGTCACATGATTAACGGCGACCAATGAATGCAATATGCCAATGTATCTGTACGTGCGCTAAGCGGTTATTTCCGATTCATGCAAATAATATAGCTAATGTTTAAGTCAGGCTAAACGAACGTAAACAAGCAAGACCGAACAAACGAGAATACCAAAACGTGCAAAACGACGAGATATAAAAACGAATCAATTCCCAAAATGGAATCGTGACAACACAACGTCGAACTGTGACAATTAAAATCGAACGTCTCCGTGAGCACGACGGGCGAATCGTCACACGCGTGACACGCTGACCAATGTGGACGTTGAGCGGCCTGAACACACGCGACCCCGCCACAACTCCATCCCCTCCCCACCCACCCACCCACCGCTGCCTGCTGCCAGGACTTTTGAAACAAATTCGGCCGCGCGCAAAGTGACACCCGCTGTCGGGAAACCCAACGCGGCGGGTATGGTGACCACGCAGCCGGCGCGAGATAAAATATTTAAAGCGCCGGCTGTGAGAGACAAGCGGGCACTAGCGGCGTTGGTGATGGTGGTGGTGGAGAGGGAAGAGAAGGGTGAGGATAGTGTATTGGTCCGTCCGTGTTTATATATGTATATATATTTTTTATATTCTTCCCCCACCCCTCTCCCAAATTATGTTTAACATTTGATATCGGCGTCGTGCCAGGATACGAATAATGCATCATCCTATGTCGGAGAACGGCCGCAGAGGATGTGTTCTGAGACCTACTCCTGGAGATAATCTCCCATCGGCATCTTGATCCACAACCAGGGAGGCACGTTTTAATGCTGTTGTAAATATTGTTCCTAACACGACAATAAAAGCTATTTTTTCCCCTCGAATGTCAAATGCTGGAAGAGGGAAAATAAATTCCAAACTTATCACGATGTTTCCGTGTATTATAATCATTCACGATCAGGCTGTGACTATCAACCCAATGAGCCCGAGAACCCAGTTGAATCACGGCGGGCGGCACAAAACCCGGTTTTGAACCCAGGATCTCGGCAGGACGTTGGCTCAAGAATCAAGAATCAGAAAATGTATTTATACTGGAGGAATCCGATGAGCTATAAAGCTCTTTTTTTACAGATGTTATGTAGTAGGGGCACAGGGTCACAATGTTACAAAAACCAACAATACAAAAACACGAAATTTATAGCCGCCAAATACTCTAAATTAATGTTTCTGACCTCAACCATCTGGCCACCTCCTAACGCTGCATGTGCCAAAGCAGACACTCTCATCAAGTAGGCCCACGCCGCCGCTGTCGAATGAAGGCAGAGAGACGTGACACCACACGTAAACACCGCAGCTCAGGCCCGCGGTATCTCAGCGGTGCTCGCTCAACGACCCGTCACACACGCATACCTGCGCTTCTTGATGCCGTTGGCGTGGCTCTCCTCGCCATTGTCCTGAGCGCCGGGGTCGGACATCCTCGCCGAGTCGCTCGACTCCGCCGAACAGTTGCTAAACCTCTGCAGCGCTTTCACAGAAACGGATTCTGCGTCTGTGCGAGCGGAAAGAGACAAAGCCTTAACAGACTGTTGGGGGCGAGCGCTGTTAGCAAGTAACTACGAAGGCCAATGCGGCACGTGCAGTATTAATCGATTCAACAATTAATAACAGTCAAGGAAGGGTATGGACTCTGGAGATGGAATGATGAAAATCAGCTCGTGTGTATAAGCCAGATGGATCATCGCATCGTGCGACTGTGAGAGATGGCAAATGCTTTGCGATACCTTCACACAACAGTAGCTAGATCATGACTGATGATGATGATGATGCTGCTGATGATGATGATTAATGGCCAGATGGAACAAAGACTTTTGAAATGAAAACCTGGGGAACAAAAGGAATTTCAGTGATTATTATTTTGATTGTGGGTCGTGATTTAAAGAATCGATTTCTTTGTTAATGTTGTCGGACACTGCATCACGCCTAGTTACTGCAGAAGCCATGTGAACCCGTGGACATGTGATTAAATACGAACCGATAACAATCCCTTCTCACATTCACGATGCATGTTATCATGAGCATGATGAGAACTGATTTTTATTGATGAATGAATGCAGAGTTACGTCCAAAGTAACAAAGCAAATACACACATGTAAACAATAAAACAACATCATAAAAGTGCCAGGATATTAAACAAAATACTAGCATAATATAATGCCTTTCAGTTATCCAGCTAACCTTTGCTCCGTCATAACTGTTTCAGGAAAACCCTGAAAAATAATGTTTAGTCAGTTTCATTAATATTTTCAAATGTGAAAAGGGTTAGAACAGTGTGTAAACTACCACCATGCCACCACTCGCCACAATGTCTTTGTCACTATCAACAACAGCCACCATTCGCTAATAAGTGGCGGTGATGACACCACGGCGCTTGTGCCAGGCTAGGTGCACTGAGGCCACTTGAAGTGTCGATGGCTCGCTGGCAGCAGGTCATGGGGACAGACCCAGGTGCAATAAGTTGACCTACTGAGATGACTGGCATATGTAACACCTGTGCCCCCCATACTGTACCATGTACATACACATATATAAACATATGCCCACAGACAGATGGAATTCCACAAAAAAACACGATGCGCAGACATGCGAAGTGAGGCAAGTGGATGCCGACATTGACAAAGAAACTCAAACTTGACCGAAAGACACGGACAAGGTGTCCCGGGCCATCTTTAATTGCACATTCTGCCCTAAAAGTAACCCAACCCATTCATTATTTGGAAAAAAGATCAGCTTACTCAGCCACTGGATAGCACAGAATAGCAAACAAGCCTTGGACAATGGCACAGCATTTAAATGCCAGGGAATAAAATGGAATCATTCAACCCTGACTCAAGGGCTATCCACCCTTGCTGTTGTTTTGCGGTTTAAAAAAATAAAATGACAGCCGTTTGCCAACATTTTCTGTAAATGACGAGAAAACCCATTACAACAACAGCACTCTGCCGATGGGGCATAAACGCGATGGTCACTGACGCGGAAATTAAAACTCCTGCCATCACTCATTGCACAGCAATGCAGTTTCAGCTAGATATAATTAAAATTGATTATCAATTATGTGCTTTGTATTATTACTTTATAGATTTTCCTATCTACGAAATTAGAAAAACGTTCCAATTCATTAAAAAAAATGTTTTAACTACATCTAAAACTCAACGATTTTTATTTTACCAGGTAAGGCCCACTGAGCTATAGAGCTTTTATTTCAGAAGCGAGTTGGCCACAAATAATAGCCAAACGAAGGGGCTTATCACGTGGAAATTTAGAGCAGCCAAATACTCGAAACGCACGTTTCTAAATGTAAAGGAAAAAACCAGAGGGCTCGGAGAAAAATCCACACGACCATGGGCAGAATATGCAAACTCCAAATATACAGACGTCAGGGTCGAGATCAAACCCACGACCTCCTGTATACCAGGCGAGGTAGTGAACATCTCACCACCACTGACTGCACCTTGTTCTCATCATCTACTTTAAACACAACACAATTACGAATTAAGTAAATGCGGGCACAAACCCCGTGTTAGTTACAAGGAGAAAAATCACGCGTACAAATGGATTCTGCAGAATTTTCCAACGTGCATTCCGCCCACCCCGTACCAAATGGCGCTCGCGCGAATGGTCCAAATTTATTTTTTTAAGTCGCAAGAATTTACACGAGTCGGCGTCGTAGAACTCATCCTCGTCGCTGCTGCTGGAGTTGTCCCGCACTTCGAGCGTCTTCAGATCGTCGAGCAACTCGGCCGTCCCTTCTGCCGGAGACTCCGACACGTCGCTCTGGGATGGAAGAAAATAAACAACAACAAAAACCACGGCGGTTACTTCCGTTTCTCGATGGTCCGATCTCCCGCCGCGTACGCCGCAGACCTGGGGGCCGATTCGCGTCTCGGAAAAGAAGTGACGAGCCGGGCGCCGAGTGCTACCGACAGTATCTTTTGGTAACATTTGCTTTGGGGGGTGGGAGAGTGGGGTAGGAAATAAAACAAGTGTTTGTAAGAGCAAAAGGAAGCTGTAATGGCCAGCTGAGCAGCAGGAGTTGACAACAAGTGAATGGGCAGCCTCCTGCTGGCTCTCCCCACAGCTGATTTATATACTTTACAAATAAATGCATAGTGTTATGCAGTGGTCCGTATAAACCCATGCAGTATACTTATAGGAAATGACATTGCAAAGACAACACTGGAGTTATGACAGAAGAATTGCACTGTTTTACATGATGCCCGTGGCACTTTGAAAACAACCTACACATCTATGTACAGCGACTAGCTCTTTCCCCGTACGTTTTACAAGACTGCCATATGAATACGAGGTGTATGCTGTCACATGCACCACTCATTAAAGTGGACTCCCACCAAGTTAACCGTCATTTGTGCTCCGCACGCAACAGGTGTATTTCTACAGCAGTTATCATACCGTTCAAATAAAATCTAAAACTATTTATATTTTACCAGGTATGGCCCACCGAGCTATATAGCTCTTTTTCAGAAGCGACCTGCCCACGAATGATAGCTCGACGAAGTGCCTTATCAGGTGGAATTTTTTCCACCGCAGCCAAATTTCATCAATAATTTGGACGACGCTTGTAGTTCGTCCACGATGCTCGTCCCACCGAAGTAGCGCAGGGGTTCTGCGCCACAACTACCCCGTGCGGTTTCGTCTCTTGGCGACAACGGCAAAGAGTTGGATGGGCCACTCGCGCCCTTCGTACAAAAAAGACAACAAAACTGCCCAAGCCTCAGCCACTCGCAGGCGAGGAGAGATTTGGTTGAATGAATGGTCACGGCAGAGACAGCCTGCCACATGATATTTTTGCTTACAGGTAAGTGATTAGGGCGACTGTTACAACGCCGCGTTGTCGATTATTCAACAGACGTGGCTACAGGCAGTCACGCAATTACGAATCACCGCTGCCAGTGTGCTGCACTAATTGAGCACCGTCGCCCCGACACCCTGGGCCAGCGACAAGCGAGTCGGTGATTGTACAGGACGCACGCGGGGAAGAGGGGGGCGTGCGTGCGCACGAGCGTGCCCGCGTGTAGATGCCGGTGTGTGTGCGAGCATGCCCACGTGTGTGCGCGCATGTGTGTGTGCAAGCATGCCCGTGTGTGTGGACATGTGAGCTTGCCTCCACATGCGTCCACATGTGCGTACGTGCGAGCGTGCCCAAGTGTGTGTGTGCAGACGTGAGCGTGCGCGTATGTGCATGCATGCGTATGCGTACATGTAAACGGTGCACAAATGCGTACATGCGTGTGCGTACATGCAAGTGTGCAGCATGTGAGTGCTTGTGCGCGTACGTGCGAGTGCTTGCTGTGGTAGCTGATGGGTGAGAGCAGAAAACAAAAACCATAAACAAAACGACTGTTAGGCAAGGAAGATATTCGAGTCTCAAAGTTTGCACGGAGATGTTCAGTACTCACTAACAGAAACACAATGAATCCCAATGGCACGACCCACATGTCATTGGTGAAAACAGACGATTCTATTTATGCAACAATCGAATCTATTTAATGTACGTACTCGCATGGCCTGGAAAACTCGCCAAATAAGTCAAATACAGGTTTCCCCTCACTTTATGCAGATACGGTTTGTGTGATTTCACATATATGCGGCTCACCTATTTCTATCCAAAATTCACGAAATGCGGTTTCAACACACTCATAGGCGGCTATGCAGTCGGACATGAGGCAATAGTGTGTCTTGTGAGTATTTTATTTGTTACAAACTACTGTATTTTGTTACGAAATTATGTGACAAAACTAAAGCATTACCACCCCAAATACAGAACGCTTACTTCGACGAACCCTTTGCAAGTAACGCACGGCCGATCCGCCAGCATTTGCACGCTTGTGGAATACGAACGGAAGCCTGTCGCTCGTACCAACGAGCGAACAAACACGACGACTCGTTACACACACAGCCGGGCGGCCAACGCACGTCACCGTTTCACCTGTGTCACACCGCCGTCGTCGTCGTCGTCCTTACAGCAGCACTCCCAGACGCCCGCACGCACACTTCCCAGACTGTTCCATTCCGTCCGGAGACTGCGTTTGCCAGCTCGCCACCACCGAGTTGGGGGGGGGGGGCTAGCGTGGGTTGAGGTGGGGCGGAGAGTTGTGTGGGGGGGGGGGGGGCGGCGTCTACAAGGTCCCACAGGTACGGCCGACTGCCGACGAGCGATCGGCGCGATACGCTCGGAACCGCGTGCGACGTTACCAGGCGTTCGCGGTTTTGTTTGCGCTACTTGCGCCCGGGCAGATGGGTCAGAAGGATAGGTTGGTGGGCAGGTGAGATGAATTGGACGGGTGGGCGGGCAGGTGGGCAGGTAGTTGGGGGGGGGGGGGCTTGATCGTGAGCATCTGAGAGGACAGTGGTGAAACTGGAGATTCATCTTTTTTAACGAGAGGGGAGGTTTGGCGCTGTGGGTCTCTTTGGTTGGAACACCAGTGATTAATAAATAACACTGGAGATTTGTTTTCTCCTGAGGCTCTTCTCTCTCCCTCCTCCACTTGCCCAACTGGTATGACCAAATCTTCATGGCAAACGACTTTGTGCTTTTATGCCTACCTCCTGTGATCCTCCAGGAATGCAAAAAAATCCCCCGAAACCGGTACAGCGTACATGCATGTATCACGAGCGTAAGAATCAATATTTATTGATTAATTTTATGCTATTTATTGGCTCTTAAAAATAAACTCAAATAAATGTATGTTTTGAGCTTTTGCTACTAAAACATTTATAGGCCTTGCCAGCGGGTGGGTTTGTTCAGGAGTAGGATTTTCTATTAATAAATCACCTTTTCTGAATGCCGAGTTTAAACGCATTTTCTGAACGCCACATCTCCAAACAGTTTGGCGCGCACTGCAAAATATACAAGCGCTCACTCGCCACAAGAATCCGTAATTCATTAGTTTTAAAATTATCTCGTCAAAACGCACACCAGCGGTTGGGGAAAATGAAACCCGTTAAAACGAATTAATTATCGAGATCTCACATACGGTAAAGGTGCAAACACGCACACACACAAGATCTAACGCTGGCCCAAACGAGAAGACTCGAGACACCGCAAATTCCATTAAGCCACACAAGCCCTTGCATTCCAAAAACAATTAAACGCTGCCAGAATAATTACTGCCAGCTCTTAATGTGCGTGGAATATTGCCGCGTTTGAGTCAAAACAATGCTAAATGATAACGTTGACAATAAGTCAATGCATGGGGCAGGTCACAACGACACGATGAGCACGTGGTAATACAGCACGTAGGTCTAAAAACATTACTTTTGTGCGTTTAGTTTGTTGTCCTTCCCCCGCACCTCCGATTAGCGTGGTTGGGTACGTACGATGCGAAAGAAGTTCAACATACAAATTTATTGTGTACATGTACAGCCCTTTCGACAGTCCGCTGATGGATGAGGGGACAACCCCAATGCCTGTTGGGTTATTTCATCACAATCCTCACTTCACCATGGTGTGGGTTGGTGATGGTGGGTTGCAGAGACAATACCACAATGGATATTTCTGCACTGCCCTCTGCTGATAAATCAGCCCAGAAACAGCCCACAACACCTGTTTTATACAGGGTGGAAGCCCATCCAAGAACTATCCAGCCCCATCGTGAAATGTGGTCGCATTTAGATGTTACGTATAAATGTAAACTGCACTGTCATTTGTATGACACCATATTGCATTATTTATGCACATTTTTCTTGCAGAAGATGCTTTTAAATTTGTACAAGATGGGAAAAGCTAAAACAAACAATATGAACAATGAAAAAGAGATTAGCAAAACATCGATTCTTAAAAGCAATTAGTTTTTCGAAAAGAGTATAATCTAATTGTGGTGGCATGTTTAAAAATTGTCAGAATATAAACAAAAGCTCAACGGGTATTGGGGGATTCCAACATCCATCTCATGGTGGGACCCCACCGACAAATGTTTGCACAATCCACTGGCCAAATGCCTTTTTGCGAGTGTCAGATATTTTACCAATGCATTTGCAAGCGATGGCTTTGGACCTGATTGATGCTACCACCACCCATGATGTTTGAGTATTATTTGCACAAACTAGGCACACAGAGGCCCCATACTTTCACTATAGAGACACAACGAGCGGTCGGTGAAGTCACTCCATGCCACCAATCGCTTCGCATCATGACCCAGGTGGGCTCGGCCATTAAAGCGGTCGAGCGATTATACGTCACTGACGGACTCGCCGCTTTCAGTGGTTACTCGGCTACAAGTCACAACAAGCTTACGGCACCCTATTGGCGTATTTCTCCAGTGCCATTCATCATCATATATCACCAGCTATGGATGAAGGCCTCCTCCCAGACGTCAACACCTCACCCGATCCTGTTGGTTTAATAATCCACCTTGGCACCTGTACGCGAGCCAATTTCAATCGTTCTATCTCCTCAGTAGACGTTCCCCATTGGGCGTATTCCCTCCTTTATCTGCCACTCCCGGGTTAGTTTGACGACTAGCGGTCGTCATCCCTTCTCGTGATAGGTCCTGTCCCGGCCCACTTGATTTTCTTAGACAGTCGTCACATCGCGTGTCGTTCATGAGAGCGCCGCTCGAGTTTGAAGGCTGGCGAGTTTGGCAACTCTGTCGAAGTGCTCCCACGCAGGAGTAAACTGGAACATCCATCCAGAGAAAGCAGACCCACACAAGAGAGCACTCCAACAAGTACTGTAACACAAATGGGTCGGCAACCGACTTGCTGTGCTGCCTCCGAGGGACCATGTAGGAGATCAACAACCATCAAACAACCGA